CACTGAGTTGTCATCCTCTTCGCAGGATTTGAATATCGATTTATTTATGCCATTTAACAATAATTTTCTGCTTCATAAGTCATGAATATTTCAAAATTCGCAGTCAATAACATAACGACAACCAGAAAAAATAGTAGTTCTGTTAGGTGGGAATGAGCTATTGATCTATTCTATGAATTCGTATAGTGTGAACTTGCATTTGAAGCGGTCTTCTCGTTTGAATCAAGCGTGCAATCAAACAATGAAGGATGCATACTGTTCCGCTGTAAATGCCATGTGAAGAGATAAGAAACAATAAAGGGAAAGTGTTCATTGAAGCAAGTCAAGAAAGCGTTACGAATCGCAATGAAAAACCGTTACCGAAATGATAAATATTCAAATGTCTTCTAAGTATCACCCATCGTCTATGTTCATGTGCAGTCTCATTTCAGATATGCTTATGCATTATTTTCGTCCTCTCCTCCATACTTCATCTCTTTTTTGTTTGATATTTCATCTCTTCGTGCTTTGATGAGACAGGTATTAATTCTGTGGTGGTGAAGGAAGAATTTATAATTACCGTGGAGGTTCTTGATCGTGTTCTCAAAATCAGCCCGTTCACATTAGTTGACCACGACGGGTGAGATCGCATAGTCGTTTTGTGGAGTGTTATTTTAGGTAGATAACTTTGTGGATCGACGATCGTGTGTGCCTAAGGGCTGTGAATGATTGGACGTCATAGCCAGGCTTATTCGCCAATTTACGCATTCATTGAACGCTTTAGGCAACTGAACTTCGACTGTCTTATAGTCGTTCTTGATCAAAATTTGTTAGGGGAAATAAGCCAATTTTTCATTCACCTTTCAAATTTTTATAATTTTAAATTTTTTTCAGCTATAGAAATTACATTTTTTCAGATGGCTTTTGCAAATCCTTTAAAATTTTCGTTTAAATTACAGCATTCATAAGCATATATCCGAGAATTCCATTCAAGTTACTGATCAAATTACGGCGATAATGTCGGATGTGTTTTTGTACTCATAGGTGCCTAATTTCTGAGAATTGTTTTTCAGTGATTGGGTGCTTTGTGCTAAGTGATTGAGCTTCGTTATGAAAAGTTCCAGCTACCATCAAACCTCAGTTTACACTCACCGATTGTTGCAAAGCGCACTTCTCTGTCCAAAAATAAATCCGAAATATTCTCTGATCCCAAGTTTCGTAACTCGTCGTGAATCGTTTATGTGCTATTTTTTGTTGGCCCCTCATAATTCATCTCTTGCTGCATATGAGTTGTGTGATGGAAAATTGAAACATGAAATGAACGGCGCTTCATTTGGAAGTTAATTTCGACGAGTAATCAATTTTTGTCCTGTGTAGTATGCATCGTTCAAGTCTTTTGAGGGTTATTAAATTTCCTGTTGTTCGGCGGTTGACTATTTCAGTCAGAAACGCGTCATAAAGGCATCAGTTCCAAATTTTCATGTGTAAGTTGAAATTTTTACTTACCAGTTCTCGTCGTGTGAGAAATTTTTTACACTGACCAAGTGATTATTATTACCTCAATGCGCAGTTCTTCGATACACCTTCGTTATTTTTATTCCAGCAGTACTTACATACGCTTTTTTATCGAATATACTCATTCAGTGTTGCATAATAAAGTTGTTTCGTAATCGAATCTTAATCACAAAGCAAATCGTGCTTTTATGGTGACTGCACAATGGAAGAATATTGCTCAACGAACATTATACGGATTGCTTCATTATCTTGTAGCAGTCATGATGTATCGTTTAATCAGGAAGCGGCCACGAGTTGACATCATTTCCTCTAATGAATTATTTTGTATCAGACATCGTTTACCCATCCGCGTCACTGATTGCATTTTACTCACTCGCATTTACTCGAGCGAGTCATCGAGTGGCGTGTTGTTTATGTCTCTGCGAATAATTAGTTATGACAATTATATTCGCTTCGTTATTGTATCGTTTCGGTGGTTTCTCTTTTCATCTGAATTGATTATTCATTTTAATTGCTTCTCTTTAAAAAAAAAACTAACCTCATTGAAATGAAATATAATTGACTGGTGGAACATTCGCTGGCGAAATTTCCTGTGATACAATCATCCCAGCCATTCCACTTTTCTCCGAAGAACTGTTCGCACCAAACAAAAAGCAACCTGCAAGCCAAGTGAACAAATTCAATTTCAAGCCTGTTGAAGTGTATTTGATCATCACCTAAATTCTTCAGTTCCATGTACTCAAACCTATTATTAATACCATGATGGGTGCGTGTATCAGTACCGAGAACTGCTGTCCGCATTTATCATAATGTGATATGGGAGCACGGCCATATGATTGACTCGACTCATAGACGATTATATGAGAAAGCGATCATTTTTAAGGAATTTTTCGTGATCACAAAAATCCACATTGTTGAGCAGCGTATTCCTTAAAAGTTCATTTCAATTTTCAGTTTGCTGTTGATGATCGCTAAGAAGTGATTGTAATGTTCTTGAATCATTGCTGGCGTCTGTTTCATGATCACTGAACGAATGTATCTTACTCTTTTGCGCTATTGCTTTATCAGATCTCGCATTAACAGTTCGAAGTTCTTGAATATTAAGCAGTGCTGCCTTCAGAAATAACAAAAACAAACCTCTCAGATGAACATAATGCTTTTCGAATGCTGTCGATATTAAAGTATGGAAATTTGATGCTGATTAATGATCTCATCAAAACAATAGAACGAGAGAGTGTTTGGTGATGTGCCCCCAGAAGCTAGACCGATCAATGAGCAATGATCAGTGAACCTGATCATTAGCATATTTCACCTTTTATTGATTCAGATTTACTTCTTCATTTTGCTTTATTCACTTCCATTTTGCTCATCTTTTTATAATGATTACGGCTATTAAGCACATCAACTTTGTGCAGTAATGACTTCTTGAATTATGCAAGTGCGAACGCGATTAGTTGTTTTTGTGTTGCGGTATTGATGAAGGTTTTTGATGGAATTAGGTGTTGACTCAGTAGAACGATAATGATGTGGCTGAGCACAGTGAAGACCCTTTAAAGTGAGGGCTGAGGATTAATTGGGATCGTTTGAAATGAGGGAGGACGTATACATACAGCCAGTTTGTTGGTCATTTTTGACGTGCTCTTAATGACAATTTCAATGAACGACTGAGAGAAATGTGTGCTGTTCGAATATATCGAGCGAGTAGCATTTGACGATTAAAAATGATAGTGGCTTTTGAATTCCGGCTTTTCTTTAATGTGTCTCTTTGTGTTTGTAAATATCTAATTCATTGATTTTAACCTCTGATACGGAAGCTCACTAATTTGGAATGAAGGTTGTCAATAATTAATTACTTAATCATTCAAGAATTTATCGCGCAAAACTTCTCGAATTCACTTCGTCCAGTTCACTCTGAATGTCCATTCATCGATTTTGTCTGCTCTCTTGGAGGGCAATAATTCTTCTCTCATCTGGCAACAATACTTCCAGCCACAACGTTACAAGCTCTTCAGAAAGGCTCATGATGCATTCATACGCTTATCTTTTTTATGCGTTATTTGGCCATTTTCTGTACTGTGAAATCATTTTGTTTGTTGTGCTGTTTTTTATTCGTTTGAAGTGTTAATTTGTTTTGCATGATGTTCACTTTTTTCAGTGTAGTTTGTTTTTATCACTGCATTGATTAAACAGTAGTAAGGTCTCATCAAATACGAATGATTACATGCTCTTCGATCATGAATTAGTTCAGTCCCTTCTGAGTCCAGGTTTGATTACGCATTTGGCGTTCACTCATGAACTTCCTGATTGTGAGGTTATTTTTAATCTCATCAGTGAATTATGGTACTCGGTCAATCTGCCTAAAGACATTCAGCCTAACGACAGTTTGCCTAAAGACACATTGCCTAACGGACAGTTTGCCTAAGGAACAGTTTGCTTATTAGGCGAAATATGCATTAAAAATTAAGCAAACTGTCCGTTCGACAAACCGTCCGCAAGGCAAACTATCGTTAGGCTAAATGTCTTTAGGCAAATTGACCGGTCACGGTGAATTATGCCGTTTCTTCTTTCACTTCACTTATTCATGAATATTTATCTCGATTTTCAAAAGAGAACAGAAAAAAGAAAAAACGATTCGTTCATAGTCTCTTTTCACAATTTCTATTTTCAACATGAATGAATAATTCATGATCGATCAAGCAAATAAGTGTTATCATAAAGTGTAATGTATGATATGAATCTAGCACTTGAAAGAGTTGTCATACCTCTCTCTATCAGAACTGTGATATATTCACTTTTAATTTTCACAGTTCTCTTCTTAATCTCGGCCATTCATACGATTAAATACTTGAAAGATTGATTCCGATATCATTTCATTCATTGAATCATCTTGTTGATACTTCATTCAGAGTAATGTTATCGTACACGTTTCGTTGCGCTCATTTAAAACAGAACATGTGCATTTTTGTTAGAATTACGTCAAGTAGCGTCAGTAATTTATTGGTTATTTTCATGTGCAATTATCTCAACGTTCCGTTTACCGCACACTGCCAGTTTTCTTCGCGTCGCTTATGAATTTTGATGCTGCTTAACATCAACTAGGGTATACTGTAGCAACATGGACGTAACTAATCTTTCCATTATAACAGTAAATTTATTCCGTCTGAAATGGTATAACTATGTGTAATGTCTTTTTTTTTNTTTTTTTTTCAGGAAACTGGGCTATGAGCTTGATGGTCCGTACATGTCGAAGTTGCTGAATTAATGCTGAACTGAAATGTTATATTATTAAACAAGGTTGATTCTAGTATTTTATTCCATCACAAATATTTATTATATCTGACTCTTATCATTCAACACCATCTGTACTAATTTTATCTGATTGTTGTGAAATTGTTCGTTTGAAATCCGCTTCTCATCTATCCGTTGGTGTTATTATTGCTATTCAACTGAAACACCAAATCTATTACGCCGAAATCATATGCAATCCATCATTCATTAACTGAATAATGTTATTTGTTGTTGTGAATGTTGGTAAGCAGGTATTGATAAAGACGTATTACTGAATTAAATCTGCTGCAATAAATCAACAACCGTTGTTCGAATCGACCGTTATCATTTTTGCGATTGTCAGATGTCGATGTGATAATAATATCAGGTGCACTTCACATTCCGTAAACCTGTTCAGCTTTTATTACAAAGATGTTATTATAAGCAGCAGCAGCATCAGCTAAACATAATCACCATAACGCAAAAATGACAGCAGCTGCATCAATGAACCTAACGAATACAGATGAATGCTTGATATGCTCATTGTTCACGCTAAGTACATTCTTCGCGTTCATCTTCTCGGCAATAGTTGTTGTCGGCGTTTGTGGCAATATCTTCGTGGTGTCGGTTATTTTGACCGATCGGAAACTGTTGAATTCTCCGATTAACTTATTTCTGCTCAATTTAGCACTAGCTGATATCGGAAATCTAGTTTCATGTTGTCCAGATATTGCTATGTTTCTGTACGGGACTGGTTGGCTGTTGTCACCTGTATTGTGTCCTGTGCTTCGATTTTTGGAGGAATATTTCTTGTACGCATCAGTTCTTACGCAGGTTTGTTCTTCTTGAAGTTTGCTGTTGTAGCGTCGTTGAGCATAATCAGACAGCATCTGCTGTCGCTTTAAACAGTCAATTCGAGGTACGGCCAGAAATTTTTTTCTTGACTTGCCTCAAATTGATCGCTGCATATTGGTCGTTTGCGAAGTCGGTCTTCACCGTTAAGAGCCGCCGGAGTGATTAGCTTATTTACGTATTAACAAAATCAGTGTTTTTCTGAAAATCGAGACGAGTGCAGTTTTTTCACTCATAATATTTTCTGTTCCATCTGAAATAAATTTGTGGTTGCAATTACTTTTTCTACATCGTTTGTGAAACAAACAATCCGATAAAATTTCTGTTCAAAGCATCATTGGACGCTGTTAATATTCTTCAGACTGTGCATATATAGTTCAATCTGTTTTGAGTATTGCGAATCGAAAATGCGTGCGTTTGAAGTTTCCTATGAAATTCAATTAGGCTCATAATTCCGAACTTTTTTCGTCGTATTCACCGTTCAATGACATTTTAAAATCAAATTATAATGAATTCGAACGATTACTTCAAATTGCGTTGTTGGTGTCCGCTGGTTCCTTCAGAATTGCCGTTTCTAATTGATCTCAGCTTTTCAAAACGCTTCGGCCACCGGAAATTTATCGGTGGAGGTTGAAGTTGAATAGGGCAGTTCGATTCCATTGCGTACTATTTTCTAGTGTTGNTTTCCCACAGGAATACATTTGTTTGTCCCTTACCGAAAATAATTTACCGAAACGTGTGTCAATGAAATCATTTGCTGGGTTTGTGTTCCTGTCTCACCGCCTTCGTGATGAGACACGAACACGAACTGAGCAAAATGCATCGGTGTTATTTTCGTGCAGGGTGAGAATGAATTGCGACTCTACAACTAATGCTACACACCGCTTATCTGAATCTTCAATACTGTTCCGATAAAACGATCACACTGAAAATAAACTCAATTGAAACTAGTAAAGACAGAGTATGACATTATGACATCGAGAGTATGACATTATCGATGATTCGATAATGTCATACTCTCGATGTCATTGAGTGGAGACAATAGCATTAAATAAGCACTCAGAATCATTACAATCATTGATTTCAAACAGCCAGCATCGCAACTCAAACGTATTCAGTGCAGGTTACCATCAGTCGGCGAAACTGTTTACATATTATTCTTCATACTTTCTCGAATAGGTGTTCATTTGAAAATTGTTTAAAAAATCTCTCTCATAATGGATAATTATTGGAACTGAAGAAAATATTCTGAGAATACGAAGTGAATGATAGTCGAAATTTTGGAGATGTCGATTGGAATTGAACGTTTCATGGCGATATGTACACCGATGCGGATGCAGCGATTCTCTAGGAGGACATCCGCTTTGATGATCGTTAGTGTTTGGGTGACTGCCGCAATGTTCGCGTCACCATATTTGATGTTTCATCGAGTCTTCGTTCGTAAGGCTATCGCGCATTGCGTTTGGAGTCCTACACTTCCAGCGGGGACCAGGTGACTATTTGCTCCTTTATTCATTCAATCATCCGTTTATCCATTTCTCTCTTTCAACGTTATCCAGTTCACTCTATCCGATCATCAGATTTACACTGACAGCCGTTGAACTATTCTAACTATTGAACTATTGAACATTTTTAAAGAATCAGTTGGTCGTTCAGTCTTATGTTCTATTTCACTGCATTTCTACCGCCCACCAATGTTTTGATAATATGGTTCCAAGAGTTGACTTAATATTCAGTAAATTTTTCGTCTCGTTTTTTTGGTTGTTCCCTGAATCGATGAATTTCTCCATCAATTTTTCGTAGAGCAAAATAAATGTTAATGACTGCGTTACCGTATTATCTCGCATGGCTGATCACTGTTTTATTTATTTATAATTGCGAATATTTTGTTCGGGACGGGAGTTTTGATTGTGCAATAATATTTTTAATAAATCGTATACTTAAGTTAAGATTCAAGAACCGTGTTACGGCAAGAACAGATCATGAGTTCATGAGTTAAGCAGAAAGCGTAGTAGACTTAGGAAATCCATTAAATTGTTCGACTGCGTTTAAAATTTGAAGCGATTTGCATTATTAGTGGCTCATTGCGAGTGCTTATATTCTTAATGATGTATGAATGATAAATGAGCATGGGTTAGGCTTATGTCATGGTTTGTCAATGTTTTAGTCGTAATAACCACAATTAGTTGCAATTTTTTTTTTGTTTCGTTCTGAGAATACTTCGCTATGAGTTTCAGTCAGAATCGACTTTGCACATGCGCAATTTGTGATTATTTCGCTGATTTGCAACGTAACATTCATCTGAATTATCGCTTATATAAGTGGTACACATGTTTTTACGTTTTTCAGAGTGATTTTCAAGTATGCAGAATGTGTTGTATTGTACGTGCTGCCGTTGATTTTATTGACAGTTCTTTACTCGATAATGAGTCGAGTGTTGTGGGGTAATTCAACGCAGATCGTTAACGAGAGTCAGCAAGCGATCGTACTTGCATTGCGGAGATCAGTCGTCAAAATGCTCATCATATCAATGTTGCTCTATTTTATTTGTTATTCGCCCATTCAAGGTTTGCGTTCATTTTGTGAATTCATCTGCTTCTTCATTTATTCATGTGTCTGTTCGCATGGATTTCTGTTGTACATTCAACTGCTCAATTGGTAAAATATGTTCATTCAATTTGTAACTTTCAACTTTCCACTTAGCATGATCACGTAGAGAATATCCATCGAAATATCCACTATACTTCCCTCAAAATTTTTGCTGATTGAAGTAGATTTTCTTCAGTTTGCATTATTATGCTACGAGTTTTTCTTCACCTCTGCATGAAGCTCCATGAAATGTGTCATTTGACAAAGAAACGCATCGATATTATTTCGTTGAATGGAAGAAACACATCGCTAACGTTTGTCGCATCAGTAATTGCGAATTTTCGTTGAAATGAATAATTGTTTGGGTTTTCAGTTCAACGTTTGCACTAGCATGCACTGAAGTGAATCACTTCTGAGAGTAATCATGGCCATGAGCTTGCGTTCTAGGATAAACTGAAAATGGTCTTGCACTCAGATAGTTTACCTGGATTACCTGGATCGGCCAGGCTATCAAACGTTTATAATGTTGCTGGCCACAATGCTCGCGTTTCTGTGCGCATTGTTTTAGCCACAATTTGCACTCAGATAGTAAAGAAAATTAATCTTATGCAGCATTTTCTGCATGAAAGTATCACGCAATTTCTTTCCACATCAATATGTTCGTAATGAGTAGTAGCTAATTAACAGACCAAAGTAGTAGCTAATTAACAGAATCTAAGTAAATCTATTTGCTCCATGTATCCAGTCCTATGAACTGCAAAAGTATTTATCTTTGCTTTCAATATTCTGTGCATTTATCAAGACATCCGTTCTCGATTTAGTGTTTCGTTTCTTTCCACTTTTTGTAATTTTAATCTTCGATCATGTGAGGGTATAATATATGTATTTCAGGTATTTTCTTGACGCAAATCATAACGAAAAGGGATTTTCAAGTCAGTCCTGCAATAAGGATCACTCTCAACGCTCTCTCGTTCTCTAGGTTTGTTTGTTTCATTTCCATTTCTCGATGCTTATTGAAAGTTTGAGTCTTTGCGATAAAATAATGTTATTTTTTCTGTGACAATCTCATTCATTCAGTTTCATCAAATCCACATCGCTGTTCCAAAATAAAAGTGACCAATTAAGATATTTCCTAATACTGCCATATTATCTTCCTGATCAATCTACAAAACTAACTTTCATTGACTAATAGCATCAGTTGACACTGATTTTCTTGTATTTGTTTGGAATAGTGTTGTTAATATATCCACTGATTGACTTTTTGCAATCGCCAACTCATTAACTTATTTGCAACACAGGGATCCTTTCATTTGAGAGCACTTTTGTTTTTGTTGAAAATTTTAAAAAGCGCTCGTTCTACGATTGATTGTGCAACTTCTTAAACTGATTGAGAAGATAACGCAGCAGTTCTGATATTGTTAACGATCACATGCGAATGTGCATTGATATCTGTAACTTTCAATTTGAAGCGTTAATCGTTTGAATCGCACTGTGCAACAATCATCAAATCATTTACATGTGAACCTTTTGAGGCAAGTCCCTAAAAATACAAAGTTCCAGCATTTGGTGTATCGCGTCATAAATAAACTCAATTCATTACTGCAGTTTCTGATTCTTGTTGATTTGATGCAATAGTGAAATTGTTAAGATAAATATGTTTTTAATGAAAAATAATTGACTGTTTCAGTTCCTCAGCAAATCCGATTGTTTATATCGTTTGTTGCCGTCACTTTCGTTCCAAATTCATTACGACGTTACGTCTGATTTGTTCAATATTTCCCGATTCAAGAAGATTCTCGGCAGCATCCGTTGAAGCCGCCGACGATGCCACACTTCGAACGCCGACTCATTCGTCATTCTACGCGTCGTTCACAAAATCTTTTCGAACTCATCTCACACGTACGGCAACATTTGTTTAGTGACGATGGGTTGCATTCGATACACCATTGTATGTTCATAACTGATATGTTATCTAACCATATCATCATTATTCATTTTTATAATGTTATTCTTTACTCTGGCGTTGTGTAATACTGATATAGCAGACCAATGTATTGGTTTTCTTAGTACTGCGTTTCATATGATGAATCAGTTCTGGGATGGGTGCATCTATCACTATGGTATTATAAGTGACACATGAGATCGGTACTTGGAATGGAAATTACATAAAGCGTGAATTATCTTAGAATTGGGATGACTGTGACCCATTTCCTTTTTTTTTCTGATCAACGGATTGTCAATAATTGAGCTATACAAAGTAACTGCATTTACAAAATTTACCATCCACTAGGTCACAGTTGTTCGGCTGTCTTTGATTTTATAAGTGATAATGATGAAATGTTTAATTTTACCTGGAAATTACAATTGAGTCAGTAAAATATGAATGGAATTGGTGAATATCAAAGAACAAATCTCACGAAGGTTTGGTTTCATCTAGTGTGGTGCGGGCAGTTTCAGGGATTCGTCCGCGACTTTTTTTCGGCCGCGGTCATTTTTGGGGAATTCCTCGTCCCCGAAAATCCTCCATTCTCCTCGTCCCGGACTTTTTTCCTCTACGCGCCACACTACTTTCATGACATTCTTCCTTCACAACGTTGATTTATTCCATGACAAAATAAAATTATGAAAAGTAAAGGATTGTGGGCACTTTTTTACCTTAGGGGCAGTCACACGGGAGCATGTTCGCGTGCATTATGAGAGACTGTTTTGCATAGATCGGCATGCGCAGTAGGTGTGTTCCAGCAAAATTTTCAGGCAAATGCATGAATTGCCTAAATTTCCCTGAACACGCCTACGTGTGTTCAGGCGAATTTACGCAATTACCTCCTACATCCCATCCTTTAGGGTAAGGAAGTGCCGAATTGTGAAAAGTGTTCCAGGCAACATGAAATAATTTTGTGGAATCGAAATATGCAGAGGGCTGAACAATAATTATTTGTCATGTTGAACTTATAAAATAATTGTTCAGCGTATTGAGATGACTTATAAGATAACGTATGCTCTGTTTGATTGTTGGTCGTTTGATGTGTATTTTGTTTGAACGCCAAACTGAAGTTGTCTGAACTTCCATTTGATGCGTCCATACGAATATGACTAGTTGCCTTTGATTCAAAGTTTTTCGTCTCATTTCTCGTTCTTCATGTAATCCTGGTGTGCCTCGTTGTGATCTCTCGTGTACGGTGTACACATCCCATTTAATTGACAATACCATCTTGTTTCATTTTTCTCTGTTCCAGATCCAAATTATCAGCTTGTCCCCAAAATCCTTTCTGTCTTGGTGCTGACTACGATTATCAGTTACCAGCGCATTGTTCACCAATGTAGATTTTCTTCAGTTGAAGTGTTTTTGGTGGTATATTTGAATACTTCTGAACGTCGATGATAACTCTCGTTCATTGCAATTTCGGGATTCTACTTTTTCAAACGTTATTCCTTGAAATATTCAATGAGGATTAATTTTCATTTCTAGAACACTGTATGTTCGTTCTGTATGAACTGTGTTGATTTAGCGTGATGGAGTGTAATAAAATTAAATTACTTATGGAATGTAATATAATTTAATCTGTTTACATATCGAACACTAAAGATACGATATGCCGTATAACACGGTAAAAAGTAACAATTAAATATAACTGATCATCAGCGAAATAAATCAACGTTCACCAATGAATAATAGCGTAATAACAAAGAAAGTTCTGTTTGCAACAATCTATTATTAATGATCACATTGAATCCAAGCTATAGACAGGAAAATAATTGGCAAATTTATGCTTCGTGCGTTCATACTTGGACGTTCGAGCATACAGGCGACGGCTAATGTTGACAAAGCATTTGGTGAGGGAATCACTTTCAAATCGACAGTTGGAGGTTGGTTCAAGAAGTTCGCTGCCGAAGAAATTTGTCTCGAAGATGAAATGCTGTCAGGTCGCCCTTCAATCTCAAAAACAACGAATTGAAAGAGCTGGTAGAGTCGGATCCCACTCAAGCTCAGAAACAGATGGCGGACAAACTTGATGTCACCCAAAGAATTGTCCTAAGTCACCTATGATAGACTGTTAAGGTCAAGAAGTTGGATCGGTGGATTTCACATGAATTGGACGAAGCACTGCACCAGAAACATATTATCCTATCCTCTCGCTCACAGAGAGAGGAGTGGGGAGATAGTGAGAATATGGTTGATAAAATGAGCGATTTGCAATTTGTTTGGGGCTGTTTGCTAAAGAAATGAGAGGTTGAAGCTTCCGAAGGAGAAGAAAGCTATCAATTGGCATGATTAACTTTTGAGAGCGTCATAGTATCCGATCGCACTAATCCACTCGGAATAAATGATTATTAGAATGTAACATTCAATGAATGCACTCTTGAATTGCTGTAAAAATCTATTTGATTGGATGGGAGGTTTACGAATCTGTCGTTGTGTTTTGATTTCGAAAGAAATCAGATACAGTTTGACGTTTCGACTCAATTTTCATAGCACATACTGCTACACATTCTTCACTGATATTTCCATTAATCAAGTCCCATCTACCTGAAATGATATACTCAGGCCGAAAAATATAATCTTGGCGTTTGTTTGTGACTTTCTTTTACACAAAAATAATTTAGTGACTCTATGCTTTAACAGATCAGCGAACAATCTATTTCGCAAGCTCAAGAGGCTTTTCGTTTCGTATTTATTGTGGTAGCAATCCCACAGTAAACACAATATAAAATCGGCGGAATTGAATTATCGATATCGAATCACAGTTGTTGATGTAATAAGTCTCGAAGTGCATAAATGAATGAAGTCTTCTAGATTTGTTTATAATTCTTCAAATGACTTGCATTATCGTTAAAATTGTCAGTGGTTGGTGACTGATGATGAAACAAAACAACTTTCATATATATTTACTAATTTTATGGAAAGAATTACGCTGAAGATGAAGTGATCTGTAGAGAGGAAAGGAAATGTAGATTATTAAAATTTAGCTGACGGAAACGAGCAGCTGCTTATGCCGAAAAACAGACAATACTACTGGACAGCTATATAATACCAACTAGGTATTCTGATATCTCAGGAACCGAGAACCTCAGAAATTTTCACTTTCCTGAGAACTGAAAAAAACTTCCCGGAAATCCCAGCTTTCCCAGGATATTTTGAGATTCAGCAACCGAGAAAATTTCAGCACTTCAATGAGATGTCGCTTTTTACCTCAAAGTCTCGTCATCAAGGTGAGAACCAACTTTGAGATAATGTAGAAATGGACTCCTTCAAGTACCATCAACAATAGCGATTCAATTAGGCATGACAGGGATTGCGAAAGTACTCATCAAAAGTACTGCGAAACAAGAGCGTAGTGATAAAGCAATATCAAGCAAAAATATATACAAACAGTTCCTATCATTTTTCCATTTTTGAAAAAAAATGTTTATTATGCGATGAGCACGCTACTGAAAAAAGTAGCTCCGTTAATCAATTATTCGCCTTAAAATTTTTTCTGTTCCGCTGAAAATAATTCGCTATAGTTATTGTTACCAAAAATAAGGAAAACTGTTTGCTAACCAGAAACGGTAGCGAAAATTTCTCGCTACAACGCTATTTATCAAAATTAATCTGCTAATCGTTACTTTCAAATTTTTCCCCAAAATGTGCAATTAAACCACTTATTTACATGCGGAAAAACCTCATTACGCTATTAAACAGTCGGAAGTTTTCAATGAATCATTCAACAGCAGATAATCGTTCCAACAATAAGCGCCAGTCAATAATAAAACAGGCTTCGAGAGTGAGAAAATATGCAGACGACAGCAAAAAAAACTTTTTTTGCCAGTGCTGCGAGTTTCCGGAAAGTAACCCCGGGCACTGAAAATTGACGGACTTTTTCAAACTTTGTTTTCTCGGAAAAGTGGAAAAATTGGATCCGAAAGACTTCACGATCAATTCATGAATCAAGACTTCATGAATTTTTCGAGAATCTCTTAAAACATATACTTTCAGATTCAGAAATGCCCAATTCTTAATAATCCCGGAAGTAGGGCCGAGGTACTCCGAGTTCATGGATGCTTGGGGTTAATACTCTTAGGTGCCCTCAGGGGTCTAATACCAATCAACTGTATCCAATCCATAATCTCCACGTCCACTAGGTCAAATCATCATCAGGCTAGATGTTTACAGGCCAAATGTGCAGCCACGACAACCATCACTCATTTCAGTGTCGTTCTCAATTATTCTGAACAGCGATCAGAAAAAGTGCGTGATGATTGACATATCGTTAGTTTCTTAACAGTGATAATGATGAATTCAAACGGTTAAGGGAGCGGTTATCATTCAGGTATTCAAACCGTATGGTTTTTACTAATGGCAAACAAAAAACATCATTTCTGTACATTCAGGTGAATCGTGTTGAACTTCATTCGCAATGAGTGGCTTTATTCTCAAATTATTGCCTGGGCAGTTGTTTTTCTCACGATCTCAATCAGACAATTCACTAACAACGTTCAAAAGGTAAGGTATGACGTGATAACGGCGGTTCTGGTCAAATATGACCGTTAACTCTTAGTTCTTCATGGACATAGTGACCGCTGACCGATGAAAATTTGCTTCAATTTGAATTGTAAAGCGTTAATAACATATTCAGTGTTTCGTGCTAGTGCAATGAAAGAGACATAAGAAGCTTGCCGCCTTTTTGACTCGCATGATAAATACTTCATCTTATCATGATGAACTGATAATCCTTTTCATAAAAAACGACGACAATCATATTCGTATGTGCTATAAACGGCCTCAATATATATACGTACAATTGTGTGTCACGTGCTCTAAATTATGGAAGTGAATGATCTTCAGGAAACTAACCTTTTCTTACACAAACAGTGTAGGTTCCCTTATTATCAAGGAGTTTTTTCAGAGCATTCTTGGTGAGAAGTAGGGTCTAAAAATGTTCTTTCTAGAACCATTGGAAAAAAGTTGAAAATACTCTGAACTAGTGCTCTTTTTTGCTCATAACATTGAACGCCGTGCGTTTCTTAGCAGAATTTGATGAAAGAATGCAAAAAAAGTGATGAATGAGATCACTGGATGTAAACATGCTAGATTGTTGTTCTGAATGATAAAATTGATATCTGATGATGGCTGATGCAACAAAAATTTTCTGTCACATTTACTGTTGATAATAAAGAAAATGTCAGCAATATCTGACCATATTATAGCAGCGGTTAGCAACACTCAACTTATCGCAACTGATTTTTTTTGGTTTACCATTAACGAACCATCCACTCGGAGTCCATTGCACGTCTATCCAATAATTATCAAGAATGATGCCGCGTTGCAGTTCTGTCATACAATTATTCATTAATCTAATGATGCTTCTTTGGGTGATTTAAAATATGAATCCTTATTCAATGATCGTGCTTTGTCGATAATATCGAATGAGTTGGTTATTACTTCTCTTAATACTACACAAATGATTAGCCTCAAGTACTTAGTAAGACTTTCTCCATAGTTGCTATCAGTCCACGTATCTAAAGTTCGATTTTGAAGTTGGTGTCAGAGGTATATGATCTCAACTGTGCTCATTCAGCTACTACCAAAATGCGATCGTCATGATTCTATGTCCTTGATTGTTTTGATTATAAACTCTGGAAATAGGAATACTCTGGAAAAATTATGCTGGAGACTTGTAAACTTTTTTTTATCCTCCTCCTTTGATGTACTTTCCCATTCGATCAACGGAACGTTTCCCAAATAATGTGAAACTTTTGCTTACCATAACTTTTCACCACTGTTGGTTTAGCGTACAAATAACCAGATGATGTTTCCACAATACGTGGCAAAGGAGACCACAATTTTGTTCCAAAGTGGCAGTGATTTGATAAGGTTGATAAAGGGATCATTTGTGGATCTGACGTTTCAATTCTCAGTAATGACACGTCACCGAATGTCTCGAGAGCATGATTACGAACGAGGGGTAAACAGCAGAAATTGTCGAAATTTTGTCATTATTTGATAGTCATCATTCTAATATTTCTCGCCATATCCGAACCTCTTAGATGCTTTCAGAAAACGTAAATGTTCGGTAAAAAAAATTCATTCGTCAAGTTTTTGAATAATATTTGTACTGAGAAGCGAGGACCTGATTCCAATAGAGTCTGTCAACCGCTTTTTATTCAAATGGTATGCAGTTTTTAGTAAAAATAGTCCTCAATCTTCTTTTGACTCATCAGCAATTCTTCACACCATCATTTGCGTTGAAACTGTCGACGGGTTATTGGAAGCGTTCGGTAAGTCATATGAGGCAAAGCGGAGACAAGTTTTGACGTTTTTTTGATATGAGCTACTAACGTTCTTTGAGGTAGAATGCAATAATAGGAGCTTTTCGAATTACGGCTGGAAATTTGATCGCGTTATGAGGTCTATTTTTTATCGAAATCTACTACTACTAGTTGATGCGTTTCGTGGCATGTATAAAATCTTATTGCCAGTCAGAACTAATCGAGAAATCAGAATTAGAATGAAGCAAATTGTGGAAGTATTCAGATCTTTCTCCTAAAATTAGATCGAAGTTGATTGAATCAAATATAAATGGAATCATCCAAAATTTCAGTACAATTATTCATTGGAGTCATTCCTCTCATTACTTGACCGTTTGGATACGGGAAGGTTCGGATTTGAGAAATAGACCACTCCAAAATACACTCCCGAATTATGCCGAACATTTGGATCAATAACCTTTTAAAGTGCAGATCATATCGTTATTATCACTCTTTGCAAGATTCTTCAACGGTTGCAGTTGTGTTATGCTGTGTGGACAACCTGAAATCGTCAACTCTCTAATATTTTCTACGTGCAATTTTGATTCTGTGACGATCAACTGATAAGTGAAGTGGAATGAGTTCGGTTATTTTTCGAAGCATGTTTATGAAAGAAACAAATGACGAACATGCTTTTTCCCATTGCCAACGATATTCGATGGTGTGTGGACATCGAATAGTGGAGTTGTGATTCAGTTTTGGTTCTAGGAATATACGTAACATACGATATCTTGCATATACATGTTCACCGCATTTACGGAGATCATTCTTATCGATTATACTCCATTCCGACCACAAACTGTTGCTGATGAGAACTGAAATCATTATCTCAACTAGTGATGGCTCGATTCCAGTTAAACTATTCTATTCCTATTCTATTCCAAGGAATAGAACAGAACAATTTTCAAGAAGGTGGTATAGAGACATCACTGATCTCGACTAGCGTTCATCGTAAATTTTTTGCCGTTTTTTNTTTTTTCTCTTATTGAACGAATATTTTGCTTCTCTTGCACTCTTCGCTCAGTAATCTAATCAGAACGATGAATTTGTTTTGACGCATTTTGTGTTTTTGCCGCAACGGAATGTTTCATGTATACACGTTAAATCAAGGAGCAAGCTGAATTTGTAACAATTCAGCATACCGAAACAATTCTTGTATTGTTCATTTTCATTTGCTTCATTCTCTCCGTATTCTGACCAGCGTGCGACGATACCTATACGATCTCTCAACAGTTGTTTCAGATGCATTTTACTTGTTTGAACCACTTCCTTCAACATTTGTGGAGCCAGTAATCGTTGGATTGATCTTCTCAATTCAGAAATCATTTTGAAAAGCAATAGCTTTCTGGGTTGCGAGTTATTTATAGCAGCAATGAGAGCTGCAAAAGGTTTAATATCTCGTTCAGAATAACCTGATATGAAAGCCGCTGTAATGATGCAATGGTGAAAAGTGGTGGGAGAACGTTGACGGTATTCAAGAAATGGAATGAATTTATGAGGATACAAAACGTTGCCACGAATATTTTGAATAGAACGATGAGATATCGTGGTCGATGGGTCCACTGCCTTCGAAAATGATACAAGTCCACATCAACGACTTCCTCTTCTGGAATTCAAATCAATTTTGGAGTGACTATTCACGGAATAATAATAACCAGTTGCGCCTAAGTGGTGAGAACTTTCGATCTCGATGCGAAATATGCTTGTGAACGAGTTATTCTTAAAAGGCACTTTGGAGTAAAGAATGACAGACAGTCAATGAATCTCGAAAGTGCACACAGTCGTTGATTTTAGCGATTTTATAGAACTCATTCCGCATAATGTTCCACTATTTCAGTTGGACGGAAAAATATCTTCAGTACCTAGCTGATTAGAGTGAGGAATGGAGTTGAAAATTTTAATTGACTGTTTTCGACTGATTAATTACCTTCCTCAGTTCGTAAACGCAGTAGACGCATTTTACGTTTTCTCTCCTCCTCTTCTGCCTGGAAGTGGATATAATTGCTGAATTTTTGATGCGACTTACTTAATTAGTATTGAAGAACCCTAAGTTATTATTATGTGTCCTTAGATCATCGGAAAGGCTAAAGCAACGAGTGCTTAGTTCACTGTGTAAAACTGAAGATCAGTTCGGATGAATTATTAATATGTGAATTTTTGCAAATGAATCGCAGTGTTTAAGAACTGACTCTCGCTTCTTCATCTTCCGCAATCGAAGTGCCTTCAGTACGCAACAACGCGGTATTCACTTCGGTTGCTTCTTCTGTCTCCGTACGGGCTGAAATTCCAAGCGACACTAGGTAAATACTTTGTCAAAATATTGGCAATGTCTAAACTGTTAATTTTGCTACATCGTTCAGTTCGATGTGGTTGGTATTCGCAAGAAACTTATTTCATTAATGCACAGATTGATTCATAAGGACTGATGAACTTAAATTTAGGTGATGGAGCATTGGAAGGATATTTCAGTGAATCCAGACACTAATCTCCTTCATATCCCTTTTCTATGCACATCAATTTCTAAGAGTGTGAATTGTTCTTATTTTGTAACTGGTGACCAGTTTGCAACTGATGGAGCATTTTGTAACATTAGAAATTCATTTGAATCTAAAATTTTACTGCTCAATAGCTCAGTCGATCACAGTCAGAGTTAATCATGCCATTCAAGATAACGAATCGAATGATGATATGTCTAACCAACAACCGAATCCAACAGAGTATCTTGTCGTTCCTGGAAAGAATAACAATGCGATTCTGCATCACTAGCAATTGTTGAATGTTGAAGTGAATAACTTAATGAATGATTAACACATCTAATAAAATCTAGACTGATAGTGGGTGTGAATTTCAGAATCTGACAAGAGGAGTTCTATCACAGTTTAGTGAGAGTATAGTCAGAAACTTCTCCACTCTCCCGAAGATGCAGGGTATTCGCCAACATTCAACAGCTAGTTGTTCAGTCGAGGTGTTTTTTGTTAGTCCCGATTACCTCACCGTCAGTTGGCGAACTACTCCATTGGTTGAAATCAGCAATTCCAAGGAAATTAAGAGGATATGATAATTTTCAAACATCTCACACTGGCGGCCAGCAGTGAAGGATCCAGTAGTGTGTCTTCGGCAGCGAACGCTGAAATATGGTATCTGCATTGATGGTCAACATGAGAGAACAGCTAATAAGCGATTATTGAATGGAATAAACTAGTTAAATTTAGGGTATTCATTGGAATCAATTGTATAGCAATTTCTTTTTTGAATAGCAATTATAAGTGTTGTCGAGCACTTTCGATAACACTTTCAATATGTACACCAACCGAAGCTACTGAATGAATACGCGATTCGAAAACAATTTGTCCGAAGGCTTTCTGATTGTCACATATCGATTCGTTAAAAAATGAGCGTTGTTTCATTTGGAATTGTCACCGTGAGCGGAAATGCAAACATGATTGTTCCTAATGAATTCATTTTGACCAGTTCAAGTTAATGAGTGAAATTCCGTCGAATTCACCACAGTAACGGTGGATTTGTTTCATATGTTGCGCTATGGAGAGTTTTCGAGAAAATACCGAGCAAAGATTGAATTCAATAAGAATTTTTGTCAGAATTCATGCGTACGTCGTTGTCGTCTGAACCTTGACTTGAAAGCACCTTTGATCGAAACAACCATAGAGTCCAAACTAGCTGGATTCATCTTTATCACTCCTTTTCACCTTTCGGCTACTCAATGAAGGATCTGAATACGAATGTGTTTGTCTCGTTCGAGGCATGAAAGAGGCAAACATAATGTATGGCCGAAATGCACTGTCGACCAATTGTTCTAAAAGTGTTATGATAAAAATTCAAATATACACCTTGTGAACGTCCGACTAATTAGAATATTTATTCATTCTAATAAGTGTTTCAAATGTACACCATATGCCGTTCTGCTTGATGTTTTTATTGTGTAGTTGTTGGCGAATCTCAAGCACATTTTAACGAACGCAAATCAAAACATTTCAACTGAAACCTATGATCGCGTCCCTTCTGCATATGAATATATAAAAGCACAGCGAGAAGACGAAAACCTACATACCGCAAATAAATCAACCACCCACACGATCGAAGAGCAAACAATGCCGACTGTCTTTTTTCATTTTTGTTCCGCAACTAGTTGGAGATGTAAAGTTGGCAAAAATTAAGCATATAAGTGCTTTCCTTCCAATGCAATTCATTCGTCTATTATGGCGACTATTCTTCATAGACACATTGACAGTTGAATGGGATCGTTTATTTGTGAATTTCAATTATGCTGTAATGCTGTCTCCATTTCTTGTTGGATTAATATGCGGCATCTGTCATAGCGTTCGAGAAGAAATTTCGAAACTTTATTGTGTCACATACAAATACATTTTCAAATAAATCAAAACAAAAGTAATCACTTATAATACATAATAGAAGTCGTATTCTCTCTTATAATCAGCACGACGCATTGTTCCCCAATAACACAATACAAAATGATTTATTTTTTAACATAACCAAGATCGAATCCTAACGACGAAGTCATCAACAGCATGTAGTATTTTTGCATGATACAAACAAACACCAACGATAATGGAATGTGACGAAGACGGCAAGAAAAGGAATAATCTCAGAAATAATGACTGTATAAGTCTATTATCAATAAGGATGATATATTGAGAATGAAATTTGAACGCACGAAAAATAGATTAACGGTATAAAATAAGTGAAATTTGGGGAATATCTCACAGAGAACTGAAGCAGATTCAAGTCCAACTGCTGAAAATTTGAAGTGAATAATTACATCAGATAAGGACATTTTCACATGGAACTGATAAGTTTTTCACTAGAACAAACTCAGGTACTTATTGCCAAAACGTTCATCACTTACTAAAGGACCTACTCTAAAAGGAAACATGCGTTATGAAAACAACTGGAAGAACTAATGCGGGATTCTGTAACGAATCAGTGCTTAACATTAAATAACAATAAATAATACTAAATAACATTAAATAACAATGAATAATACTAAATAACATTAAATAGTGAATAATGCCGAAATTCAGAAAAACGTCAGATTTTTCTATCCGAAGCCTAAATCTGACACTACAAGGAAAATGAAATAATTGATACAAAAGAACAAAACATATCAAGAAATATAATACGTTCAAAAATACCTAAATTAAGCATTGAATCAAATCGCTTGATGGAATGACGATTTCAAGAGAGCTACACAGCCGATTCTCCAATTATGTCTTTTCTAGTATACCAACAAATTTATTTCAATCACATACGGCATCCCGCAATAAATTCACTGAGTAATTGGTCAGTTCCCTATTTACAACAGAGGTATTCATTCTATGAATAGGATTTTGAATAAAACCAATGTAAGAATGTAATAATATCAATAGAATGCGAATCGAAAAGAATATTACATTAGTTGAGCTAAAAATAACATCGTTAATTGGTACAGTTGCGTCAAAAAATGACCGAGAATAATAAAATCGAAAGGTGAGCAAAATATTCGGTGGAAATAAAACTTCGGTAGATGAACAAGGTTGATTATAAACTAAAATTATCTACAATTTGTTTTATAACAAAGTTAAATGATTAAATGATTCAGAATGAATCTTAGTGCAATGATATCAGAATCAAAGAATCAATCAGTTCAGAATATCACTAAGAACTGTTGTTATTTGCACTGAGGAACGTTAATGAAGGATGTCGTTTTGATACCATACTTTCGCCTTGCCAGCAGAGAACACTGCCTGACGCAAGACATACAAATAACCTTGTACAACGTGACGCGAAACTCATGCTGCAATACGCGTTCGATAATTCTTTTGCACTCGGAACTGATTGATAAGTGCAAAGAATATCACAAATTTATCGAAAAAAATGCTAGTAGCGAACCTTGTTAAGTACTACTAGAAGAAACCAAAAAGTATGCGTAATATCTTAAAAGATACCTGACAATTGGCTCCAAGAAATTGTAGTTGAAGATATCCCGAACAGGGTTCAATGTCCACATATCAAGTAACCTAAATTAATATCAGCTGATATTGCACTTTATATCTCAGATTCTGGAGCATCAACATGACTAGGTGATCATTATGAAATCATGAATAGACTGTAAACTGAAACGACATATTAATATCTGACGGATGCATCGGTAACGATCAAAAGAATAAAATCTTACCTCACAATGCCATTCTGCATGCCCAACGCAAGACAATTAACTGCTGTTCCTTCAGCCAACGAAGTCATTCCCAGCGCTGTCACCGTTATGTCAGTCTCTAAACAGCCCACGCGTTCACCGTTTACTGTATACAAGCAAACACGACTGCCGTATCCTGTAACAAAGTACCACTTCTAAATTTGACTGCTGATGTCCGGAGAATTGAATGTATATTCCGGGAGACATAGCAGTTCAGCTTTTCCAGATAGAAAGGGAAAAATTCGAGAGTGCTAGAATCGGAATGGAGAATGAATACATCGAAAAATCCTGTACATGCTGCGTCACACAATTTGCACGACTTCTGAATGTTGGTTCTTGAAAAAATTTTTTTGCAGTGAAATAATTTTATATTTGGATTCGAAAAAACGTTTTCGTATTGGAAACGCTGATTCCCCTTTGTCTCATACCAACATAATATTGGTTGACACTGTTGGAGTGCAAGTGTTTCCATTTAGTGAGTGCAGATGAAAAACCTCACAATAGCGAAAATAATACAGAGCTAACCAACCAGACTGAAAAACTACTGCAATATCAGCAGTAACTGGACTAATACAGGTGATTTTCGCGGATTCAGATGCAGAACCGACCAGAGTGCGTACGAACGACAAACGATTTACATCCCAAACACAAACTTTTCCATCGACACAACCACTCACCATTATTGCGTATTCACTGCACACCGATATCGTACACACTTCACTTTCATGACCATACAATGTTGTTTCGAATTTACATTCTTCCAAACCCTTCAATACAAAACCATAAATATTACGTTCATTGCTGTTGACTACTATTGAAACGTCAGATAATATACCTCATTACGATCACAAATCATAATAAAGTAATGGTTTAAGAATTTAAGTGTGTTTCAGTGATGTTGAACGCAAAAGTATAAACCTTAGCATTGAAGGAAATACGATAAACTTGAATGATCGCTGATGAGAGACCAATGAAAAGAAGTTGATCAGATGCAGAATAAGCGATTGCGCTGATCTGTAAATGTATAAAATAAAATTTAATTTGAATAAGGTGAATGAATTTATCAAGGAAATATGAATGTTGACGTCCGCTTGACACGGTTGAATAGAGAATATTATTTTGATCTGGTACAGTAGGTTACACATTTCAAGCAAAATATTAAATCTAATATGAAAGTGCTACAAATAATCTGAAAAATGACTGCTCGCCAGTAAACAGATCATCTACAAGATCCAAGAATTAGTTTACGAGGAATATGAACGAATGATTAACAACGAATACCGAGAATGTTTGCAAATCGATGAGATTCACCCAGAAGGAAGGAGATGCACCGAGAGTACGAAAACGCATTACGGTGTCCGTAAATCGCCACGATAAAAGCGCAGAGCACACTAGATCGCGCGATCGAAAACCAACTTTGTACTGAAATTAATCACAATTTTCGTACCACATGAACAACAAAAGAGATGAATTCCGATTATCAATGGGCAAGTAACAACAAGAAGTGATCGAATGCTAAAGACATTTCTGGTAAATTAAAGTATCTATTACCTGTGGAAGGAATAGTGTTTTATCTGGATATGCATAACAGGATCCATCGGGAGTAACGAACAAATGACTGATATGGCCCATTTCTCGAGTGCCTCGTTGCTTCAATACAACAATCGGTGTACCGCTCTCCGATTCGGGACTACCAACGAATTCACCCCATCGAATGCCGTTCACTGAGCTGAGCACATTCTAAAACTCATTCGTTACACTTCCTAAATTCATATTCAACAAACATTTATCGAAAAGTTTGAGAAGAACTTGCAAACAGTGGGAATTCTGATTGCACTTCACAATCGTTATGAATGGCCAATTGATAAAAACACTGAATGAGAGCAATGATGCTCTCAAAACACTCATCCAAATCGCAGTGACCGATGTCGGATCAAGTATTTCAAAAATTCAATGTTCGATTTTAGAAATTTCCTTGAATGGGTCAGTTAGAACAACAGTCAACGATAGGTAGAGCACATAAGTAGAAAATCAAAATCAGACGTTTATCAATTACGAAATCAGCTAACCGGTGATTTAGTTTTGAAGTACTGACTCGATTTAGCCGTTAAATGAGGTAGGTGTGGTGAGTGGAATAACTGAATGGGCATTTGACCGTATGTTCGGACCATCGTTCGAAGTGCTGATAGCGATAAATGATCGTGTTTTTCAGTTGCGTCTTCTAGTATTCCACCACGATACGTCTAAATCAAACGGGAATTTATATCACATTCGAGGAAGTCAATAAATTGCACGGCATCAGCACGGTGCACACAAGAAAACATTTACTTCTTCGGTGCTACATTCCATCTCACATTTCTTTACAGTTCCGTGAACTGATTCGATGAGCACACAGACTTTTCATTAATTAATTTTTCTTAGTGCCACCAGAATTCAACTAATACAGATTACTGAGTCACTTTATGGAATGAATGGTGAAAAAGATACAGCTGGGTGAAAGACGTTTATGGCTTGAATGGCTGCTTGACCAGACTGTTTGTAGCCGAATATAAGATCGATCCACGAATGTAAATTTGCAGTCACTATCGACGACTCTAGTGCTTGCCGATGGATCAATGTAAAAAGACGCGCTGAACCACCACACCTGAAATCAGGAATCAAAGATAAAAATAAAAGCGGATACAGCTCCGTTCATGCTTCTAAACACTTCAATTGTATATCTCACGGAAAAGTTACTTCACTTTATCTCACGAAACTGTTCAAACTCAATGAGAGTTACGCTGTGCCGAGCAGAAGAAATGATTGAACTAACTAACCATTTTGGCAAAACAACGTCGTTAACGACATCGCCATTCTGACGAATACCCATATTCAAATGCTCATTGTTCACCAGAAATTCCGGTAAATAGAAGAATTCGGGAATGAGCTCTTTGAAGTCGGTTGTCGAATCGGAACTTGATAAGCGCCATGTTGTTTCGACAGAGTTGAATAAACGATCAGCGATGTCGAAGTTATTATCTGATAGTACGAATGCCCGCTTATCATTACATAAGAAAATGCAGAACAAATAATTATCAAACGTCTTCTTTCTTCTGACATTTCCTGTACCCGAGAAATACCGGAATGAGCTCACTGAACAACTAGATGTTGATGGCGCACGAAAATCGCAATTCTACGCTTACGGATGACGACAACAAACCTTGATATTCAAGAGCGATATCAGTGAATGGTGGTAGTCGCACCAAATAATGCACTACAATACCACTGTTTGAATAATGACTTCCATAATGATAGGGACCAAAGCAGACTGGTGAATGTGGGTTCGCGCGTGACTGAGTGGATCGATTCGCCTCAGCCTCTAAGCATGCATAAACACCAAGATAGTGGCTCTCCATCCGTTTGTTTTGAACTGCCATCGGTTTGGATAAGTTTCTAAATATTTTGATTCATTAGTCCCATCACTTTTCACTCGAAAGAAGTAATTATTCGGAACTTAGATACACAGCAATCATAAAACGCCTTTCTCATCAAAAGACTGGTATGAAACTTTTTCAAAACGAAGTGAGAATTTAAAAATCAGAGAAATTTAACAAGATGAAGCAAATGCGCAAAGAGAAAATGGAATTAGAATACCGATAAGAAGATGCATCAGTGAGATCGATAATTGTAGAGGAATAGTTGGAAAGTACAAATGGGAATACTGGATACTGCATCAAATCGTTGAAAGATCGTCCCGCTAATTTGTTTAGCTGCATCAAATATCTGCAAATGTCATATAATACAAAACAAACATTCAAACATTTAGATGGCCAACAAATTGAATACGCACAAGTAACGATGAGTAAAAGGAAAGAGAATAATCGAAAAAAGACAACCTCCAAATTAATGCACGAATGCTATAACTGCATAACTGAATGCTCGAGAACTATGAAAAACTCTGTGAAAAGATCAAAAATTTCTGAGAAGCACTAACTGTGAAAAGATCAAAAGAGAAACATACTCAAAGCGAGAAGAAAACAAGATCAAAATTCGCAAAAACATACTCAAAATTAGTCATTGCACCATCACGCCATAACTGTGTAATTGAATGAAGATTTTGCGGAGAATTGATCAAATTCGACAGATCCATTGAGAGCAACTGTGACATAAAATGATCTCGATTCTGAAATGCGACGGCACGGCACATTCTGCGTAAGGATCGAAAAAAACGGAAAGTTAGTAGCATATGAGAGAAATTCAATCAAAAAAGTGATTTGATGAATCAAACCATTTTAAAGGGGCCGAATGATGGTAAAAAAGACAACACGGATTAGAGTGCTAAAAATTACCGCTTGTTCTTCGAAAACAATCAGAAATGTTTGACCGTCAGAAAGAAAGATCTCAACAGCGATATCTTTGAGGAGGTGATGTCGCTTATATATTTCAACCACAGATGAATACTCCCATACGGCTATCATTACTGTTGAATGCGAGACACCTTTCTGAGAATGTCATTATTCATTCAAATCATAACAATTGAATTACCAACGTGACAAACAACAAAGGACTACAGAAAAAAAGCAAAAATGTTCACTTCAGTGGGAAAAATTAATAAATTCAACGACTTGTTCGGTTTACTTAGCAAATAATTACGGAACTGCAACAAGTCACTGTTAACTAAACAATGATTAACAACGACATAATTACCTGAGTAGATCGAGTGTCATCTCCGAAGAAATAGAATTTGACGTCACCGAGTAAAACTTCACCAAGACTCTCAACAGTTGATCGAACCACCTTGGCAGGTAACGAAACACGTATTCGCTCGTCATCAGCCAGAGTCTCCATCATGCTCCATCCCCTCGGACTTGTACGACGTCCACACTGAACACTGTTATCTTTGCAAAGAACACAAGCGATTGCAGTAACTTCCTACTGACAATCTGCTTCCCATTAATGTATCTTTTCAAGCATTTACCGATCGATGTACGAAAATCGAAGATTAGGATTTCATTGAAACAATAACATTTTACAACACCTTAAAACGATGCAGTTGATAATATTATTTCAAAGGAAATTTTCGACGCCTTTGCTGAATACAAACAATCGCAAAACATCAGACAAATACAAATCAAACACAAATATCTCCCACAACTCACCAACAAATTCGAAAGCGGAAATGGCCTTTCGCGATTGTCTAATTTGAAGGCGAATTCGGGCTGCACGAAACGTAGATCAAAGTTCAAATGGTCGGCTTTTAAGCGTCTTCGCTCTCGGTTCGGTCCCTCAGTCGGATCAAGAGTCCAACTCAGTGGCCATGATTTCTCATCGAAACACACTGCTTCTGGATGACATAACTGCACCTTAAATGAACACAAATCTACCATTCAGCGAGAACGCATCAGCACAAAAAAATTCTTTTTTAGTGGCGAGCCAGCACTACACAGCGAACTGAGGTGAGCAAATAAGTATGAATGATTAAATGATGAATGATCAGAAGAGAAAACAATGAGAAGAGCGAACTGAAAGCGCCGAAATGATGCGTTCAGCATAGACACAGCTCGTCTCAGCACAGTGACACGAACGCAGAAAAAGTTTACGACTCAAATTTTGTTCATCAACAACTTCACATGTCAACGACATTGCATTCTGCAAATCAAATCAAATTCTATAAATCAACGAATCTTACCATTCAACAGCATCAATACTCAACATTTTCACAGTTGGAGTAAAACAGCGAAAATTCTTTAGAGTAAAGCGGCAAGATAACTTCAAAACAACAAAAAATTCATAATCGACAGTATTATGGCAAGAATGGTCAAGGTAGATAAAGAAGTGATCAGGAAGCATCAAAAATCTTATAGTAAATGCCCAAACGAACATTGGATATTGGTTCTGCACTGATTCGTTCACCTTCACAGATGGCCGTGACACGTTCACGCAACGACTGAATGAAAAGATTGCGATGATCCACATAACCGTGCAGTGCAAGTGATTCATCTGTTGTCAAACACATCAGTCGTTCTGCAAACACATATCGACAACACTCAACGACAATTTTAAAGTTGATAACTCCTCGTATAATGTAGTGCGTAAGATGCAACATCATACGAAACAATAACTACAAGTTCAGTAACGATACCTGGTGCTAAATTAGAGAGTGGAGATTCGATCTGTAGATTTCTTAAGAACCGGATTAACTTTTCAACATCTCTTGCATTTTCGGCATTCAAACAATCTTCACAAAGAGCGAGCTCGTGAAGCGCTAAATTCATAGCGTACTGATAATCCTCAAACAAAATTTTCATGATCACATAAATGAATTCATTGAAATAGAAAAACGAGTATAATTACCAAAAAAAAACGAACGTAATGCCTCAGAATGAAGTCATCAATTATAATTTTCGCAAGCGAATTTTGATCAAGAAGTAAGAGAAAATACAATCTTAAAGCGAAATTCACCAGATTAATATCAAGTAATGTCTTCAGAGTGTTTTTATACGGCAGATCATTCGCCAGTGAACGCACCAACAACATACGCTTTGTAAGTGCCGCATCACAATTAAGCTGAAATATTCTCAAGTCAATTGCTGCTTCTATCTCAACTGCTCAGTGATAAGCAAACTATGGAATGCATGCTAAATTCATTTCATATAATGACGCAGAATTTCTGTAATGTGTTCAAATTTCCATTGGAAAAGCATTAAAAAGAGATTGAAACGATCACCTCAGATGAACAACGACAGGACGGTTTCAACAGAGAATCAATTTTACGTTCAGCTGGAAAGAGTACGAATGCGATGAGTTGACCAAGATAGAGGCGTGCACGATCTCGACATGCTGCTAATAAGTGAGCCCACGACTGAGCACGACTTGAAGCACCCGGACGCATCGCTATTATCTGAAAGCATCTAATCATGAATTCCTGAATGGAACCAGTTACTTAAAAGCCATACAGGGAAAATAGTTCCCGAGATCCCACTCGCACCACAAACAGAATCTCGTGTGGATTCTTAATCGAACATACATTTAACACAATTTCGTTAAGCATAAAAATGGATAACTGAATAAATCGTTTCCATCAGAACGAGGGAATATTTCCATATTAAAGTTGCTGTAATTTCAGTTCATGCACGTATTCCCCATAGAACAAGTATAAACATTGATAAACGATAATATTCAATACGAATTTGGAAGAAGCCATCCTAAAACATTGCATTAAAAAGAATCAAAAGTTGCTCATTCGAAACGTCTACAACCTACATCTTGGTCTCTTTTCCACGTTGAGAAGAGAAACCCCAGAAAGTGTTCGAAAAGGGAATTCTCAGCATCAGATGTTGTTTGAAGAAAGGCACTCGGAATAGCAGTAAAGAGATGCAAACATGCTTCCAAACAAAATAACGTTCGATTTATGTTCTCGTTCAGCGGTGCCAACTGAACTCGATAACGCCATTTGTACCGACATTTCATCTCTGAAATCATCATCTAACTTGAACAGTACACTAAACACGCGTTTTGAATGAACTGACGCAATATGAACTGAAAAAAATGCATAATCGAACCGAAAAATCTGAATGCTTATAACTCGTGGATAGGATGATTGATGAGTTTGGAGTTCGTTTCGTAAAATCAGCGATAAAAATTACAATGAAAAATTCAGTGAACGAAGAAAAATTTTCGCAATTTTCAATCAGTGAAGGAAAGTTGACATACGATCGCCAAGAGATGCCATTTTTTCACGTAGGTTACTGAACGAATCGGTGAAGAACGAACTCATCGGAGACACACCCTGAAGAGTTGACGCCAGCGAAGGCCCAATCCCTTCGTTCTCAATATCACCCAGTTGATCATCACGAAAACTTGAACCAGCTGATGAAGAACCATCTGAACTAAGTGGCCGTGTAGTGACTAATAGAACATATCAATAATGAATACCAAAATAATGCATTGTCAAAATTTGTGTTGTCATTGCTGAATGAAAATGATACGAAGAACATTATTAATGCTGATAACATTAACTATATTAAAAATAAATAAGAAAAAAAGAACGATGAAAACAAATACAATGCAGTCTAACGAACTAGGGAGTGTGTCAATGGACTCGTTACTAGGCGCCACACTAGCTGATAAACCTTCGTCAGCATAAACGTTGTGTATCGTTATCAACCAACAAGATAGCAGCGAACACAGCTCTGATCGAATTAAGTTGACAGCACTTCGGGTTTGTTCATTTTCATCATCCGACAAACTCACCAGTGCAAACTCTAACAGCCAAACAAAACGTTGACACATCTCATAATGATGAGTATCGCTGAAAATCGTATTAACGATAACCAACTCAATACGTCAAATAACACATTAAAATGATGAATAACAAGATAAATTACAGTACCTCATTATGATACTAAACGAATTAAACGAACTTATATGGAACGCATGTGATGATGATACGTTTGGCGAATAACGACCAACTTTCGATGAGTGGAGTTAACGAAGATACATTTTCCAGATCAGTCGCTCTGCAAAATCAGAAATCAACTGATTAAAATGTTACTTTCAAACATCAAATCCTTGGAATATCGTCCTTTATGACGAGATTCATTTGCACGGCCGAAAAGTTAATAGAATAACGGTAAATTTCGATTGATCATTACTGCTGCAGAAAATTTTTTTGTTACTGATCACGATAACACAAGAATGCAGACAGAATCTGATATAACATCTACGAAATTATTTGACAAACTGAAAGAAGTATCCCTCGCACATTTCAGGTAATAAGGCAATACGACGTAAAATGTTAACAAGAGTTTCACATAAATGCGCATCGATCATTGCCTGCATTAAGAGCGAGTTCACTTCATATATCTGAAAACTGTCACATTTCATTGACCTCGAGTAACATCTTTATAAGAGATGAACCATTTGTAAAATCCTCCCTTTTCACCACCAACTAATTGCAATTTCTTCCCAGAACATACTCGGAAAAATAAACGAAGGAACTATAAAATAAGAACCTTCAGAAGCGCAGAGGTGACGTTCCAGAAGAGTGACAAGTCCGATACAGTGACACATTCCTCCCACATCACAAAGATCGCATCGAATACGGAACAAGTGAAATTGTCAACAAATGTTTGTTGTAAATGAGTCGAGTCCAAACTGAAAATTAAAAAAGGCACTCGACACAGTCCAAATATCGTGCTCTATCGGACAAAAATAATCTGAAGATAACGTCGATAAAGAAGCGACTAAACGCACCCTTCATCCAATCGAACATATTCACCACACAAAACCGAAAATAAAGTATTCGCAATAACTGAGGTAATCGGATGCGATCGTATGTGATTGGCCAGAATTGCGAATCCATTATTTTTGACGAATGAAACTCGAACGGCACATGGAGAACGTAACTGAAACAGAATCGCCCTGGTATAATAACTCATAAAATTCGAACTGAACTTTAGGATGCATTCAAACGATGACTTTAAGGCGTTAGTTATACGATAAAAACCGCTCAATTAAAACCTAATGAACGATAAACTTTAACCATTGTTCATGAATGTTCTGCTGGGAATCAGATTATTCAAACAGTTTTTTGAAGGGAAATCTAACGAACCAAGACATTCTGAAGCAAAACAAAGACGGAATCGCGGAAAGTGACATCGTCTTGATTTGACAGTAAAACAATGATCGACTGCCAACTGATGGCATCATGTAGGATTGCCATTATCAGTGAATCCGTTCCATTCTGAATCACCACTGATAACAGCTCTATCGCACCTGCAACCACTTCCTCAACTAATGGATCAGAAGAAAACGAAATGATACAGTTGATCCAGGTAAATGCATGATCTAGGTATATAGTCAAATGCCTTTGTTCTAGCTCATTTCATTTACTTGAGCATATTCTCGGACACAAAACCGCTGGAAATAATCGAGAGCAGAATGATGCTTTGCAAATAATTATCAATAATAATGGTCAATTTCACGTAATGAAAAATTGTAAACATACCACAACGAAGTGCACCAGTCCAGTGACATTCCGAATCTTCACGACCATCCGCATTATGTTCCAAATTATTCATATCATCCTCGTCAGCCGTAGTGTCCTCTCCTGCGCTTTCTTGGATCAACTCTTGTTCAATACCTTTCACCTAATAAAAACAAACCAAATCTTGTCAAAACATTGCTGTTCCATACACTTAAAACTTTCAAAATATAAACTGATCGAAGAAGACAATGCACTTAAAAAACGCACGTTGCTTTCAGTCAGAAAAATATTACCTGATAGGATTTTACAGTCTTTCAAGAGCAATTCTAGGTTAATTTTTGGCAAAACTGAGAATCGAACTCACAAGATCAGGTAGTACAGAATGATTTGATTGGTCTTGTTGCTGTGGTTGACTGATGAGCTGTTTCGAGGCGGACGGAGATGCACTGCTGGATGAACGACTTTCTTCATCGGCAACACTCTTCTGCAACGCCGTTTCATACGCCGAGCGTAAACTAATCACTGAACGTTGCCTTGTCCAACAATCTGCTACGTAACCTAAAATTATCGAATAAAATTCAAAAATATGTCAATTTCGTGGATTGCACACGATAACAGGTAAACATCGACTGCAATCAACGACTTGCATGTATGAATAAATGAACGAAAATCTATCAGTTGATGCCTGCATTCACCTGCACCCAGCAATCGAACGTAATCATTTAAGCGCAACGCCAATGCCGACTGACCACTGATAATATCCATCCGAAGCTCACTGATGCATTCTGCAAGATGTTCGTTCATATTCATTCAACTTTTACCTTTTCAGTGACAAAACCATCTTCATTGCTAACGAAGTGAATGCGTAACAACTGAATCCTTATCACAGACGAGATTATATTTTCAAAATGCAAAAAGAAATGCACTAGTAATCAACCTTGAGAAAGCTCTTCAGGGAACTATTAACTTAGCAAAGCAAACAATATGCACGGACACTCAACAACAACAATACCAGATTTAATCCAGTCGTTATGTCCACACGAATTATACTGCAGGAACGCGTCCGCAGCTGGATGTGATAAGAGGATGAAATGCCATAAGAAAATCACTGCATCAGTTGTTTCGGGCGATCCAATAAGACAAGATATTATGACAGTGAGCGATTTAACCAATCTCACGGCTTCACCGTGTTCAGCATGGAAATTTCTGGCATCTTGCAACATTATGTTGCATGTCTGCAATACATCCAAAAGTACATTCCATGTCACAGAAGCGATTCATTCAACTTTTGTTGACAATCAAAATTATTGACACAAACGATCAATTCCTTTTATTTGTCTCGTGCTATACGCATCCAAACGAAAATAAAAAGAACTTACATTGAAGAGTTCTGTGAGGAAACGAACTCGAACCAACTGCGCTGTGTTGAAGTCGAAACAACGTGCGAAAGTATCCGAAAGACATACGGCTATTGTTTCTGCCAGATGAATCCAGTGCACGAACCGATCATTCCCCTTCCTAGAAGATGATCCCATCTTGGAAACTATCTTAATGCACACCATTTAATTTCCTCACTTCAATTTTAGTGAACAATCAGCCACATGACGTTCAAATCTAACTAAGTAAGCGAATTCGTAAGTAAGTGCAAAATCTTACCAAATATCGGCACAACAAAATAGCGCACATATCAGGTCTGGATCGATGATAAGAGATAAAGGCGTCGGTCTTGCGACTTCGTTCGTCTTCCATTCCAGTTCGGAGATACACCAACGAAGAACCTCCTTAAACATTTTAAATGAAGTGAATACACTTGGAATATCGATAGCAAAGACGAACAAGTCACAATGTCAGATACCAAATTCTACTTTAAATTCGTACTCTAGAAGAGAGAATATCAAGCAACTTATGATTGATGCCATAAACAAAATGATCAATGAAGATAATTTAAAAAGAAGGCAAATAAATCTAGACCAACATTAACGACAGGTAAATCGATGAATGCAAACTGTGACGATAAACATCTCGCAATTATCGCATATCCTGATGATTTTATGAATTCGCTCATTGACGACGGTGTGCGATGTGAAAATGTCATCAGAAGGCGCAACGCTATCGACTGCACATTGCTATCGCAATGCATATCAACTGTCTGAAATACAATACATCAGTTAACTATCGAAATGTCCTCCACTCGAACACCCATCATCAAGATCAATCAAACGTGCCTGCGCAAACAGAAAGAAGAAGAGATGAACGGATCCGAGTGGTATGAACAGATGTTCGATTGACAAGATTTGCTGCTGTGCAATACGACAACGCCAATAGATTGGATAATCTTGAAGCATCGTCAAGCCAAGCACTGACCCGTCACCTTCGCTTATGGCCACTTGCGCATCTATACCTGGTTGCAGAATGCTGACACCAAATGAGTGTGCTGATGAACTGCTAAAACAACGATAAGTCACTTTGAAGGCCATCATCCTCAACTGTAATTCTCCGTATAACACCTCATTTTCAGATGAACTCCCAAAGTAGGACCGCATTTTTGCAGCAATCAAGTGAAGAAAACGTGAAATCCTTATGCACAACTTCACGATGGTGCTTATATTTGACTGATTACCGATGACGACCGTAAATTAACTGAGCAATTACAAATTAAATACTTCGCTGCACTATAATGCATGACATAACGCTAACTGAACTGAACGAAACAGAACGTAAATTCAATTTGCACAAAAACAACCTCATGAAAAGTTCAGACTACGAATGATATAAACTGACCATGATCACATGAAAAAACCAAGTGCAAAATCAAGAAGACTGACGAGAAAACGAACCGAATAACGAAAAGAAATGATCGCTGGAGACGTGACAAATGCATTTCAGTATCGCCCAACAAACTCAGAATCGATATCGACGGTGACAAAACGGTTGACGGATTAATCAGATTATTCAGCGCCACATTCAAATTGTTTATCACGCGTGTCTCAGCCAACGAACAACACTCACATCCGAGCGCACGTAACAACAACGCATACTGACTCGATAGTGCACCTGAATTCGTAAACAATTTTCAAAATCTCCTCACTGCGAACAACACCATAAATTACGAAAACCGGGAGTGAATGTAAACATTCATTCAAAAATTTTCTTCAATAAAACTAATACATCAAATCACTCAGTCATGAGAAGACACCCATAAATATTAAAGTGCTTTGTTATAGCGCCATATTCCCAGTTAATAAAGCTAATGAACGTATCTGAGCGATTCTAGCGAACAACTCAAATGACTATTACACTTGAATCTCATGAAAATATTTTACCTTTGAAAGCAAATATCGTCGATAAATCAAAGGATATGTCCGTATGATCCGGACCGTTCTCAAGCGCTCCGAATGCGAATATGAATGGTTTTGATGAGAGATTCGATATCGGTGGACATTCACCAGTCAAATTTGTTGAATGACTGTTTATTGTTACCTTGAACAAATTTTAATTTAGATGCAATCAAATTTTAATTTAGATGCAAATTCAAGACAACCTACATTTTATGTAAGTATATTTGAGGTATTCTTATTAACCAGCAAATTTCCATAAACATTGACAAAAAAATCTGATATCCAAAGTGTCAACTAAATTATAAGCAGCAAACTTTATGCTAAACTTTACAACATTTCATTTTGCAATAACTCATTTTGTTGTAAAAATTTTTCTTAAAAACTTCAAACTATAAATAAGTTCAAGAAATATTACATTCAGAAACGACATGAAGCATTGAACGACTCGAAAATAATGAGAATAATTAACAATCATTAATGAAAGTTGCTTAGAATAAAATAGAAACTAAAGGAATTCATTTACATTGACGGAATACATTCCCTGTTCCACAATGAACGATATGACACAATGAGTCCATTGCGAAGCAGTCAATGAATATCTCAAACGCTTCCGCATCACCACACATCCATTTAACATGTTCCTGAAATTAACACTCTCAAATCATCCTTTACGCAGTTCAAAAACAACATCAAAACTCAGTAATCAATTCAGGTTAAAACATTCAATTTGAAAGAATTTTCAAAAGACCAAACGAATCGCTGAATGAAACAAGCAAAAATTCAGAGTGAAGAAACCACTCACACGATATAAACGCTCTGAGCATCAGGCGAGAGTAGAAGCGAAAACGAATAATCAATGGAACCGAGCGAACAAATAGATATTCGACGAGGTTCGTCTCCCACATCAATCTGCATTAATTTATCAGTTAATTTTAGGCACTCAAATTTGTTACTTATTTTGCAACAAAGAATAAAATCGACTGCATTTGAAAATGTCTCTCCGATCGAGCACTAATCACCTCAGTCCAGAACCGTATTCGAATCAAAACTACTGAATAACCTGTTTATTCAATGGAACGTTTAGACGTATCCAAAAAGATACGCTGATACCATCACTGAGGAATACGTTAAAAGGCGATCCCAATGACAGTTCGGCGGCGAATGATATATCCGGAGATGAACGCAGAAACGGCGATGAGCGAGATGTGGATTCTTTGTCAGTTTCATCTGGATTCGTACCCAGTAACATCGACTTCTCATCGTCATCGTCAACAATCACAATGGAAGATGACGGTGACTGTCGGCGATCTTGCGATTCTGATCGTGGACTGCATATCTTCTTCGAATCATCCGTAGTCAACGAGAAAAACTTCTCCAACGTAGACATGAACAACGATGTGCTGGGCAATGACCTTTTCAGCACATTCTAAACTTATGACAATTTACAAATTTACATTTAAAGTTGTAGATTCAGATGGAACAGAAAAAAACGTTAAATCAATCAATCAAAGCTGAAACATGGCGATTCTAAAACATAAATCAGAACATCAATTCGAAGCCAAAAAACTTTTTCATCCCTAAAAAATTTATGTACGCACGCCTGACGATGAGAGGTATCTCTTACTCTCATTTCGCATCCACTCTCATTTCGCATCCAAATTATTTGAAGAGCAACTGATAAACAGAGTACTGCAAAAGTTATCACCTTATCCGCGGCGACATTATCCGGCCTTTCATCGTTCTCGTTATCGAGTGGTATGTCTGCCAATGCACTTTGTGGAAAAGCAATGCATTCGCTCGGTTCGATCGCGCTCTTTTCCACTAATCCCAATAAAATTTCCAAAACGGTTAACTGAAACGAAACGAACTCTTTTATGCCATAACGCGCTCAAGAAAACGTCAATCTAGAGTAATACGAATGATGTTATCTCCTCTGCAAATCAATCCTCAAATACCAATAATTCATTCAGATATTTCTGACTGAGCAATCTTCTGTCGCAGCTATATGAATTTATTTGTATGATACTGCAGGAGAAGAGTGAATGCTTTCAGCAGTACCTAACAAACTTATACACTACAAGAACGATTAACACTTGGAACAAGTCGCAGTACTCACTTGCAAATGAGGTGCTTTACGGATCAACTTGATGAGTACTTTTAGTCGATTTGATTGGTTATCGAATGAGATAAAATTCGAATAAACGTCCAAAACAGCACCAAAACAATCAACTGATACGGATGTACAGACCAGATTTTCAATCAATACCTGCCAACGATCGATCATCTGAAAATAAATCAGCATTCCCACTGCGTCATTTTAACAAACAAAACATAAAGAAAAAAGTATAAATATAAAGATCTGGATAACTTCAAGAACCGTATGTAAGGAAGCACTGAAAAAGCACGAATGCAGTCAATGAAACTAAAAACTTGCGTTATTAATCGTGTATGTATCCAAATTCGAGAATGTCAACTGCGAGAGAGTTTTGAGTTTTCTACACGAACATTTAATATAGTATTCATCGGAATCACTTAATTGGCTGCATCGCTTTACTGCATCACTCAGTATGCCAATCGCCATCAGAGACAATGACGGAAACTGCATTCGAGCACGTTCCACAAACTCATGTTCGCATACTGAAACAACCAAGTTCTTTATTTCAGACGACGAAACATCACTGATATCGCATATTCACAAATTTTGAAACGGGAAAACAGACGCATAGTCGCAATCTCAGAAAGTGAAAAGCTGAGAGGCATTGAAGGATGACAGTGAAAAGTCATATACACTCACCACTATGAAGACTTTGACACTGAATGCAGCTGTGATGATGATACTGAGCACGTTTCATCAGTGGTTCTAGCGAGTAGTCGAAAAGGGCTGACGTTAAGCAATATATTAGCCGTAATGAAACTGGACTCTGAATACTACTTATTGTGTCACTCTCTAACTGTTCCATGAACTGAACCTGGAATTGTGAGAATATATATCATCACGAAGAAAAATTGGAAAGCAAATACTATGCAATTATGAAACGTTTCATAGAGGGAAAAATCTGCCTCGTTTAAATTCATTACCACAGAAGGAAACATTTGATATTTTTTAAAAGAAAACATCTTCGTGGAGACAAACTTCACTTGTCATATAATATTGAAGGTTTTGTTAAACGTTCCAGAAAAAAAATCATTCAGAAATTCATGCCGCTCAGTTGATTAAAAAGACAGCTCNCTCACGAAAATCAGCCAAAATAAAATGGAAAAAGTACACGACAATGTTCTATACAGCTTCAGCTCTTGGCGAATCGGCAACAAAAACAAAACAACAAACGGTCGAAGAATTGAAATGATCGAACCATAGAAGATAATCGTTCACAAGACAGAACAATCGCCGTTGTGACCGCAAACAATGTTCCAATTCTGTTCAAATGGGAATACTGATTTGTCGACGACTGAATCCAATCCAAACACACATCAATAAATACACCGTTACATCCACGCAACCGACGCATCAACGATTCCGATAAATCTGCAGTAAATTGAGGGACGCATAACAAATAATCATCTTAATTTAATTCATTCACAAATAACATCTTATTCTGAAATGTGTTTAGATATTTTCAAAAGTGTAATATGATGATAACCTGTTAGATTGTATTTGGAAATGAATGCGTAAAGTAGATCAGCAACTGATAACAACGGCATCGAGAACTCTCTGGCTGCAATCAACGTCCAAATATCTGAACGACCAACACTTAAGTCACGTTCCATTCGAGCACACAGCGCTGAACATAATTCGTTCACCTTAAACTTCGTTGACTTTTTAACAGTACTTAAATGGTCGATATTTGTAGAATAGGTTTGCTTGAAACACTTGAAACGATTGCATAACTCTAATGAACTGAGCTTGCTTGCAAAGTGCAACAATGACAGATCCGTCCACAAATACGACCTAATAAAATAGAAATTACACGAAAAATGAAATGTTCTAACATGTTCGGCAACTGTGGAATCCAGAAGTAGGATAGTACGAAAGAGTGGAATGTATGAAGTAAATAGATCGGTGCAATCGTCAGTGCGTTTTAGAAACGGAATCAAAATCTTGCTAAAATGTTTTCATTATTCGATAACGAGAATAATATTTGTTGAATGCGATGATTACATTGAATGAAATATTCATAAAATATTACAAAGCTTCCACCTAAATCGAAAAGTTTTTGCACTTCGGAGCATTATTATTTTGGCCTGTGAACAACTGAATTTAAAGCCGATTCAACGTAGAAGGAATACAAAACCGTCGAAAATCGTCAGCATTTTTTCCCAATACACTAAACGAGTCTATTCGGTGTATGTTGAGGGACGAACATTTCCGGCTGGTACTGGATTAATTATTCATCGATATATCAAATGTCAGAACACAATTTATTGATTAAAACTGAATGAAAATTGTACGATATAATTTACTACCGAGTAATCAGCGAACAATCCTGCTTTCCGATGATATGGCTTGCGAGGAATAAAATCAACTTATTTTCAAGTAATTGAGAATCATTATCAGTTTCCACTTCATTCTTCTCTTGTAATTCCAAACAACGATAAACCAATCGGTCGCACAACCGTTCTGCATTCGAACCAGACAGATCTTGAAATAAGCTTACATTATTACACTTTTCACCGGCAAAAAATATTTCCTCTTATCAAAAAAAATCCCCGAATCAAAAGCATGTTTACAGCACTACTTGCACATCAAATCATTCATCTTCATTTCAACTCCACAAAAACAAATCAAAATCTGCATCCAGTGATCCGTGAAACATTCTCAGTTCCTGATATACATCAGAAAAATTTTTCATTCTAAAAACGTTTCTGACACAAATTTTCGGAGAAAGTATCACATTCACCGAAGGTCTAATAATTGAGGTTTAATTTAATATCAAACGTAATATTTTAATCCAAATCAAAGCAAAAAACACACAGTTCCATTACCCGGAAAAATGATTGAAAGTAGGCGTAAAATGTAATCAATATTCGCGACACCACAACACTGTATCCTTTCAGCTAGCGATTCGATTATTTCTGGTGATACATCCTCAATAATCAGTCTGAAGCAAGTTTCACAGTTCACATGATTGAATTCTAAATGATAATCGATTCGATGAGTCAGCAAGCGGTATTCTAATAATTGTGATGATCGTTTTAATTTGATCAAAGTCAGATCGAAGATTTGATTTGATGCGCGTTACACTGTGAAAGAAGAGAATCAACAGCACACAATCTACTTTAATATTCATAAAATTTCTCAAGTTTCATTGATTATCACTTAATGAAGCATAATTCTTGAGAGAATGCTGTCCATATTAAATCGCGCAAAAAACATTCACTTCAAGAAACTTGAAGACGTAATTCTCACTCATCTTGCTGCTTCGCTCAAAGAGCCATCTGATCGCTAAGATTAAACAATGATATTTAAACTTTCAAATAACTGATCGAAAGTCAAAACCCATGATCACTATATACTGAAACGACAACTGACATGTTAAAGGATAAAAGCACATGCAAAACGCATTATAAAAGAATACTTTGTCTGCGTCGTGAAACGAAGATGAACGATGAGTGCGTTTACGACGGATGAGGATTGAGTATGGATGAGAGGTTCGATGAATAATGATGATATAACTGATGATTTGCTTATACATGGACATAGGCCTGCTGGTAACGTTGAAATCGTGTATATTATTACATCCAGCATAGTTCTATAAACACATGAACACATGATCAATGCGGTACGGTAATTTTCTCTTTTCACTGCACAATTACGATTTCATTCGAGTCGAACAAAATATGGAAAATAAAAGTTCACAGCCTCAGTTCTCCGATAAATCTTCCGTTTTGCACTATTCCTTCAACAATTTAACTTGGATAAACCCAACTGCTTAAGTGATCACTGCTTTAAGATTCAAGGGAATGAAATCTTTAGCGAAAGAATTAAAATTTACAACGAACCTATCGGAACAATTGGCTAACATCTGAGCAAAAATTCGGTACAAATAAGCGAACGCACATGAACCCGTTTCAAATTCGGTTGAAGGCGAATGTGAAGTGAGTGTTAGTTGATGAGTGGATGTGGATAGCAAATGGTCATGAGAGTGATGAACCTTGAGAAAAACGATTTTGAATTTTGTGACAAACGATTACTTCCTTAAACTCTCAGCAACTATAAAGAAATGCTCTATAGTTACTGTCTTTACAGCCACTGTCTCTGCACCACCAAAAAGTCAAATAAAATTTGTGATAAAAATGTTTGCATTCTTCTGCGAATACGAGCACACTGAATGCTCTTCATCCGATCAGTTCGCTTTGAACATCCATGTAATGAACATTAGATGATTTACAATTGCTTCACATATTCCCCATTCAAAGAAACTTTGTAAGACATGGTAATGAAATAAGAACAAAATAAACTAAAACCTTGATCGTGCTCTGCGGAAGACTCTTACTGAGTGAGTTATTTTGATTAACTGATTCAACGAGTGCTCTGAAGAGTGTATATAACGAGCTAGTGAAGTGTTGAAACGTGTCTCGGATTCTACGAAAACTGATACCAATCTCGTTTATTATAGCACATATATCGCGAATTGTATCAACAAAATGATTTTCTTGTAAAACTGATAAGGCCGACAAACAAACAGACAACTGTCTATCAGCATGCAGCGATACACAAAACGGTAATGAAACACTTTCAATTGTCCATGTTAAGAATCTGAAATCATGAAATAATATTGCGGAGTAAACCGACCACTAAAAAGGTCGAAATCTTTTAACGATCAGAACAATGTGATGCAAAATTTGAAGTGAAAGGTAGAAACAGCATATGGGATAAAAACAAGATAATCGTAAAGAATCGATGAATAATTAGACGAAAAGCTAACGAACTTGAAAATGTGATCAAAATGTGAATACAACAAAGTCGACTTGTTAGAATTAATGACATCCACTTCCTGCGAACTCTCCTTCAATCCATAACCAATGTTATCGGTCACCTTTAATGAAGCGTCTTATAACGATGAATTTAAATCGGTTTCTCGAAGTAATTCTCAACTTTCAGATAAATATAGATTCGAACCGAATATGGTGTAATATTAGGTTGTTACTGTCCATTTTGAATTGTTAAGCAAAACGAAAACAACACAAAGAATGTTTGAAATTTACATGTTTAACAAAGGCAATCGAGAATTCGATCACATTCGATAAACTTTTTGAACGCCTTTCAATGCAGATCTCATTTTTAGCTGCATACAAAGCACCTTTTACAAGGAGTGATGATAACAGAACCCAATTCGAGAACTGATCCACTTGACTCACATCTGAAAGCATTGATAAATTCAAAAACACCTAAATTCTGTCACTTGCTATGACAAGAATTAGTAATAGAAAAGAACATGCGAAACCTTTATGAATAAAAGCAAAAGTACCAAATGCTTCGCGAAGAACGCTGAAAAAAGAGAGGAGGAAAATGAAATAATATCGAAAGAAAAGTGAAATAACCGGGCATTAAAGTATGCATAAAATTATCGATAATATTCGAGAAACGATTGTTGTTTGTGAAGTTGGATATGCGTGGTATAATTGAGAGGGAATATGCGACACATTCGAAAACTGAATGAGTTTCTTCGATATCAGCAACGCACATATCGTGAAGGATACACAAAGTGGCATCATCCAAATCGTAATTGTCACCTTGAACAGACACCTCATTAACTCACTCTCTTATCAAGACGCTTGCTATCATTATGATTATCGACTTCACGATGGTCAATTTGACAATGATACACTGACTGAAATAAGAAGATTCATCATGAAACGATCATTTCATTAATAGTATTAAAGATCTTCCCCGAGCAGATTCTAGTTCATCTTTTCAAACAGCTCCGAAAGGACACTTTGATTTCGTCCTGAATAATAGATAATATTACCGTGTAGCATAGGAGGATGATCCTTATAAGATATTGAGAAACCATCGGAATCTTCTTGCAGAAGATATTCGGAAAAAAATACCTTAAAATGAACACGTTGGAATGAAAAATTCCAAACTACAACACGAAAATTACCACTGTGGTTCAAAAATACAGCATCTAATTCTCAACAAACTGACTCATGCATTGAGCACAACAAATTGAATTGAATGCAATGGTAAGCTCATATGATCGTGCTGATAAAAGAAGTTTATGCAATCAAATTATCGTAAATAACATTCAAATCTCTGCACAAACAATTCCTGAAATGAACTCCAAAAGGTATTCGTGCATAACAGACCAAAAATGTTCGGGAAATATTTGCAGAATATGAAAAACGAATTGTGACGATTCAAAAGAGATCAAGTCATCGAGGAAATTTCATTCCGCAAAAAACAATGAGAATTTAAAATAACCGATGGGCCCTTCCTGGGTGATATGCGGTGTTGCTGAGAGGTAGTTTCACGTCCAGCATCAGCACCCTCGTCATCATCGTCACAGGGTGCCAATGGAGTATGGGGTATGGTTGGTAAATGAGTTAAAGCATTCAATAATGTTAACGGCTGGGTTTGTGAAATGACTTCACTCAACGAAACTGTACTCAAAAATTCACTTAACGAATCACAAATCGATTGCAATTGATTCGAATCACCTGAAATTGAATCGGCTCTGTATTGAGAGAATATTTTATGTGTCAAATATGAGAATATTTTATGTGTCTAATTGCACTACAAATGGCAGTTTAAAAAGCAATCACAATAGCAAAGCAAATCATAATAAAAGCAACAGTGAAGAAAATGCATGAGATCTGGATGAATAATGCGATCAAAATGAACCAACCAACCGTTAAGAGGAGTAAGATTTAGTCGTGCTATAAGTGACAAAAGAATTGAACTTCTAAAGTCGGTCGGGCTATTGTGTGAGAGCTGATCTGATAGACATCCCAACAGCCGAGGATACCATCCGTGCAGTCTATCTTCGCATACTTCATCTTCATTATCTTCATTCATTGATGATCTATCTATTTCGGGCGCCTTCACTCTGAAATTATGAACGCTTATCAAATCTATTACAAAACTCAAATATTCATTCCATCAACCATCAAAATAACACACAAACAATCACAAAACAGCCATATTCGATTACTCAACAAATCAGATTATTATTCAAACGTGCACGGAAAACGTTGCCAAAATTTTTGGGGGTTTGCGATAAAATTTAGTCGCAATATGTGTTGGTTGCAGGATTCTATTTCGTGTCCGTGAAGGGAGCATGATGTCACCTCGATAAGCACACAAATTACCTTCCTTCCTTAATGCTCGATTGATAATTTAGTTTTTTTTNTTTTTTTTCCAGTTCCTCTGTGCTATGATTACGTATTAACAAGCCTGAATGTCCTTAGTATCGATCAAATATAAACATCTTTTAGTTGTGTTTATTAACACGATATTTAATACGCTCTCAATCCTAAAAATCGTTTATCTCTTCCTGATCACAGCCAATATGCGACTAATTAAAAGGAATGAGGACCGGGCCGCTCAAGCACTGATTCAGTTGCATCTGAATGATTGCTTTGTTAACAATGCTGCTTCGTGAACAATCGGTGCTTCCATACAGCATTGATGCATAAATCATCATCTGTATTCGACCCTGACACCTTGTCAATATCCTTTCATCTATTAAGAAATGCCTCAGCGTCCTTAAATCTGTCATCGCCCTGCCAGGCTGTGATTGCACTTCCTATCAAGAGACTGGATCATCACAGGCGCCACCAACTGGCGACTATAGCACTTATAATGCCGATAAACCACATGGGAAATGGGTTGGCAATTGCAAGAGCAGAGAAAGAGACGAACGTTCACTGACTTCTCCTCAAAATTTGATGCCGACAATCTTGCTGAAAACGACTGACTTCCTAAAACCAGTGATTTTTTATTTTATCCTATCTGGACTTCAACCCAACTCCTAGAGACGCGATGAAACGAACTGATAAATGCAAGCCAAAATAGGCAAATTAGGGCAGCGGAAGAATGCAGTGAATATGTTGTATCTATATGCCTTGTTCATGTCAATGTTGACATGCAGACGCTGCGATCTTTCTGAACCACAACCTAAAGGATGTAGTTGAGAAGAATGATGTAAATAGGCAGATAAAAGACGATTTACGTCGCCGATTGGGACCGACACCTTCGTTATAGATCAGTTTTGGTCGTAAGTTCGACCAAAGTTGTGAACTGCACCAAGATATTCATACGTATTAAGCGTGTTTTGCTAGAGAATTGCTCTTTAACAACATCTTTTTGTCAACATTTTACTTTTCGAATAAAATCTAAATAATAAGATATAAATAATATAATATCAAATAACTGATAAGGAAAAAGTACCTTTGTGCGGCCCGGAATACGTGTCCCTTCTACCGTTTCGGTGTTTTACACCATCATCAAGGAATAAGACAATAAGACATGTGTACATATGGCACCGGAAAGTTTTGTGTTATAACATAATAAATGACATTTAGTATATTGATAATGTATGAGACGTATATAAGCATTTCGACAGTAATAGCGACGTATGATGAAGAATACATAAATTATGGAGAACATACATAAAAATTATGAAGAAATGCATCAGGAACTTGTAAAGCATAAGCACGATACACTGCATTTATAATAAAATTATTGAATCAACCATCAATAATGAATCGCATGTGGAAACGACGAGAATTTATATATAGATCCAGAATTTACAGAACACCGTAATTTATAGATGGATATTTGAAGTTGTCAAAATTCAAATGATATGAAATTTCAATAAACAAATTGAAACGGCGATTACTCATGTGAGATAGTTTGTGTATTGTTCTTATTGGGTCGTGGGTTGTCATAGTGATCACACCTAGCGGTCACTCGTTTTTCAGTATCAGTTTTTGTTTTATTAACTTGATGATTTTCCATTGATAGTCTTTTTTCTTCTTTTCTCTTTAAATTTCATGATAACATTGCGGAGTTTCTTAAATTTGTTTATTGATCCACATAAATCTCTCAATATTGTTATTCATCTCTTCAAGTCGTGCGAAAGTTTCGAATACTAAAATTTTTTCGAAAAAATTTGTTGGAAATACATCGCAAATGCGGCTCATAATAAGTCTGAAAATCGTGGGTCGGCTTTCACCTCTGTTCAGATTTATGGAATGCGTTAGAATTTTCAGAGTGGAGCATGATCAGATATCAGCGTCTTTCATATTCGATGCATTATTCCTGGATAAAAACATGGATAAAGAGTAAAGCTTCATTGTTTCATGATTTCTCGACGCAACTCCCCCTCTGCTCATTGTAAGAGTGAGGCAACATCAATTTGACCGTCTGCGGTCATCAGCATCGACCTCGTGTGAATGCGACTCATGTAAATACGATGCAACGCTGCATTTTCAGCGAATTATCATCGGGCATTTTCCGAATTATTTGAAGAATACATCATTGATGATACATTTATTTATTGTTGACCTTTTATAATATTTGCGTTGTGTCGTTGCTCAAAATTATGGCTATGTGCTGAGAAATTGATCGGGTTTTAATGAGATTTGGTTAAGCGATGAGAATGGTATTGCTTGGCCTCATTCGATGTTCACGAAGCCGTGAAAAGGACATTTTCATACAAAAATTAACGAGTGACCGTTGAATGTCATTCTTCCTATGGCTTTTTTAACGGTCTAATATTGCTGTTGTGACATTCATTTCTTTTCGTATGAATTCGTATGCTCAAAATGCCAACGATATTTTACAGCCAACGAATCTTCACGCCGTCACGTAGCTCTCTCTCATCTGATTCTATCATAAGGGCATTTCCCAGATGATTTTGACCCCTTTCCCGTACATCGAGATTGTAGTCCATTACCATTGGTCATGTGTAATTCTCCCCGATTATTGAGTTCAACGCACAAATCTCAACGATGACATAATTAAATGCCTAATCGCTGATTTCCATCAACAACTCGAATATTCACAAGCGTGAGCATCATTCAAAAGTACTGTATTAAGTTTGGTTTTTCATTGAAGGTTTTGTTTGCACGCTTGCACAGCTCTTTAAGACATCATTTACTTTGGAGGATCGATCATGAAGATGAAATATTTCACTTTACAAATCATGCTTTCGATGCCTGTGCAACACACAGAAGAACAGATCGTAAAATTTATTGTACGAGAAATTATTAATGAAAACAACTCTTTCTAATTGCACTAACACATAACAGACATTCAGCTCATGTTATTCAAGCAGAAGTAAACACCAAATTCTGGAGTATTTGCAGTTTCGACGATTTTCAGTTTTTCTCATCCAAAACAACTGAAATATTGCTGAAATTTGTTGGCGTCAATGCTGCAAACTTGTGTGGATATAAAAAGCTGCCTTCAGAATCTCTCATTGTGCACTGAGATATCGCCACTCGAATTTGTTGCTGATGTACGTGATAAAGATGGATATTCAATCGACTGACAATGCTTTTGATTTTGTTTTATTGTGATACAGTTTTCATCGATATTACTTGATAAGAATGTCTGTAAAGTGTATGTCGATTTGCAGTGAAGCACCCAAAGAACGCAGCCAATCAAAAAACTCATCAATCCTGAAAATGATCATGATGTTAAATCAAGTAAATAGAAAAAACATCAATCCAAGTTCATTTCTGAGAAACCGTAATGCTTACAGTGATGGGAAACTCTAATTTTTTTTGAGAGTATCGTTCAAAATTAACGACATCGTTGAATTCCTGGAACCGTTGATCTTTTAAGCAATATGAAGCCGAAACGCCCGAGTCGTTCACCATTTCCGGTGAAAATATCTATTTTTTCACGAACCTATCGATTTTTTACATTTCTGCATGAATTTCGGTGTTTTTTCGAAATCATAATTTGAATCGTTTCACAATTTGGAAGTTAAGAATTCTAACTGATTATGGATTCAGTGTTCTTTGCGTTATCTCTCAAAAAATTTCCAAACGTCGATCATTTTTCGCATGCCTTTAACGTCGTTTAAGGCTTAAGCAATTTTTTCCACCGCTAAATGCTCCCATATTTCTATCATCTTAAATCCCTCCAGAATGCGCATCACAAAAAATCCTGCATGTGATACGTTTCTGCATGTGACACGTAACAAAGAATTACTAGTTTATGGGTATTGTATTCAGATAGTATTCTGTGCTTAGGAGCGATGTTCGTGATTCACTTCATGACAGAATTTGAAAATTATACATTTCGTGTGAGCAAATTCACTAGCGTACTGCAGACGATATCAACTCCAATTAAATCCATTTTGAACGAAGAGTATAATTCATGGCTTATGAACAAATAAAACAGACGTAAAAGCATACCCGCCGCTAACGTGACGTAAAAGCATGTCGAAAGATGGAAGTCCAGAACTGACATGACGCCATCTTCAGATGGAAAGCGTATTTGCAAATTCTTGGGAATGTACAAGAAATAGATAAAGTCCGCAAATAGCATACACGAACCAACGGTCATCACCATTTTGTAGAAGTAATGCGGTGCCAAGCACAACATTAACATTTGAATCAACCACATTCCAAATGTTGTCCTGTATTTTGTTTGTTGTTGGGTTGTTTTTTTTAAATATGCATTGAAATGTTGATGAATCGAGTTAAGAAGCTAGCTGGCGATCGAGGAGGTTGGCCAAATCGAGCAATAATAAACCACGAATCGAGCATGCCATTATCCAGCGGTAGACAATAGTGCCTATTCGCTACTCCGCTGTTAGTGCAGCTATTTTTTGCGGTGGCTCGATGGCTCATTATATTTGCATATACCAGAAATCAGTAGCGATAACTTCCGCTACGATAATTTCTTAGAGTCAAAAAGTAGCGATAACTTGCACTGTGGACCACAACCAACTAATTTCGAACAGTCTTCTAATTTTTTGCAAAACCACTTTTCATCACGAGTTCTGGCATAAGGAAGAAGATCAAACAATGAGTTGGAATGCCCTTGCACGTACCCTTCTTTCTGTAATTTTGATACATACCCAGTTTTGGTATATATAATCAATTTTGGAGTAAGGTCAACTTCGGTATGAGTGGAATAATTTTGGGTCATAATCAGAAACTTTACGACGTTTAGGCATACTGTATCAGAATACAGCTTGCTCATCTAGTTCATCACTTCTATCAAAGTTTTCTGGACTTGGAAAATAGATTTTAAATCAATTTTAGATTTTAAGTCAACAAATATTGAGCTGCATATTCCAACTACAATAATCATCGTTCTTGTCAACAACATGATGGTTTTCAGTACAAGCGGATAGAAGAGGTTCTCTACTATTGGAAGACTTTATGCTACGCTAAGGGATTCTGTTCAATTTCAGAGACAGATCAAATTGTTTATTGGAAGGATGGAAAGATTTGATAGCCTAACTCAACCAGGTGATCCAGGTATTCCTTCCCAAAGTTCTGGTTTTTGATTTTAAAGATCTTTAGGATAAGTTTGCAAGAACTCAATCTTTTTTGTTGTTTTCAACTGATTGCACTGCAATGCTGATCGAACAACGTCACCCCGTTATCAGATTACACTTCTTAAGTGATGCATGTCTAAATTTCATTGCATGATTGATAAAGGCGATATTTTGGTCCACCATGGGGAGGACATGTGAGTGGCTAGGCAGTTCCCTTAATAGGCAACGAATTTGATTATTTCATTATCAACTTTCAACAATTTTGAAAGTTGGCTATGGCAGTTACCCTAATTGCCGTAATTTACTGCTAACTCTACTTTCCTCCTCACGAATGTTCTCGCACGAAAACAAGCATAAGACATCATACAATTCTCAATATCCCTAACATGAATTACTAGTAACCTCGTCGGAAGCGTTTCCATCTTTATCATATCGCGGACTTGACGATATGACTCTTCAGTCCGACATCATTTGGTCATTATTATTATCGGAATTTTTTGATGAGCGGATTCCGTTTGAATAAAATTCATCGTTTCCGATGAACTCCGAGAACGGTTTCACCAATTTTTCGATTGCAGGTTTTGCAGGGAGATTTGGAAGTAGCGATTAGCGAACTAAGTTTGCTGACTGCCGTTTCAGCGAAGACGGACGCTACTTTCTTCAATTATCGACACTTTTAGCGAGAAATTTTCACTGCATTTCTGTCATTGGCGCTGTTGAGGATCATTTTTGATAGAACAAAATTATTTTTTGAGCGAATTAGCGACTAGCGGAGCTATTTTTTTTNTTTTTTTTCAGTAGCGTGCTAATCGCTGCCATTGTCTGTTCAAAAATCTGGCAACTGCGCATTTCATTCTTCTAATATTAATGATTACTACGTCAGATGTTTCAACATTCCGTTTCAGTTTTTGCGGTTCTCATGCGATATGCCCAACACAATGTCAGCATCCAAACGAAGCATTTCGAGCTGCTCTTTATTTCACAATGTTTGCAGCATTTGAAGGCACGGTGCATCACTGTTACAAGATCCCAGAAACTTTCGCATTCGCATTACTGCTGATGTGAGGTAAAACAAGAAACATACCATAACATACACAGAGTGTAATAGCCAGCAAGTCGATACTGCCTACCCCAAACGAATCCAGCACGATCAACGCTCAAGTATTCGATCACTTTAAGTATCGGATATGGTAATCCTTTTCGTAAACTGTTCTCAAGTTCCTTCTCCATTGAATAAACTGAAACTAATACTATTGACTGCAACACGTTTCTGATATTAACTTCAAGACAACGAAATTGTTTGATTAACTACTCAGTGTCATACGTTTGAATGATTCTCAATCAGCAGGTATTATGTTTAAATGCATGCAGATACATACCTGCATTGTTCATGTTACTTACCATTCAAAAATTTGAAACGCTCATTGAATTCAAGAGCTGATAATGAGTTTGAATCTGAGTCGTCGTTGGTTGGTGGAACTGCTGAAACAGATCAATCAGTTGGGCGAGTAACTATCGATGAACTGGACGGAACTGAAGTGAAATCAGATGATTTTAATGAGAATTATGCACATGATTCAGTTAGAAATTTTGGATAAAAGAGCATTACTAAGTGCCAAATTGAAACGCGAGTTCGATTCATTACATCATTCAAAAACGTCCAAGAAGGCTCTTCAATTGAAGCAATATTTGAATGGGATGAATCCTTTCGAAATTTGGGATCAGTCATGAACTGAATGCAGTTCAAATACCATCGATTTGATACATTTTACAAGTCCATCTGAGTAAGTCCCAATTTGAATAGGTAATAGCAACAAATTAAATTCCCTTCCATTCGAACTTAATTAAACGTAATTTAGGAAATCCCACTACGTAAAACAATCTTTATAAGGTACTGCTATTGTCTGTATCTTCATCAGAGCTGATCGAATACGACGAAGCAAAATTTTAGTGATTTCAGATTGTTATTGAGAGGAGCAAACGAAGAATGATGAATAAATGCTATAAATTTACTGGTAAGAGTAACGTTGACGTGATTCAACCCCATTCTCACGCCAAGTACTGCATCTATCCGTTTATTTGTAAACGCCTTATAAACTGCCGAGATCCGTACATTTCCTTCATGCCAACACGGGTGATGCAGAGTTACTGAAAAGTTATCATTTCCTGCTCTTATCAAAATTACCCAATGAATCTGATCTTTTAGTTGCTTAATTAGTGATACCTTAAAATTTAGGAAATATCGCCTTCTGTAATTTTATCTCTACTGTACCAGATCGAATATTTCATCCAGTATGGACCTAAATCCTTGGATTCCGAAATTGTCATAGGTATGACTGAGCAGTACTCCAGTCGAAGCAAACAAGGACGAGAAATTAGGAGTTCAAACCTAAAATAATAGCCCCAACAAGCATACTGAACACAAATGTGACTGTCGATGCAATACGATGTTGTCTGACACCCGGAAGAATAAGAAAGAACGCAATAAGCGGTGTTATGAATACTGCGGCTAAGCCGAATATCTGCAGATCGAATATAACTGGAGTTCGATTATCACCAAACCACGATGGATCACCATTCTCACGAAATGCATCAAACCAACCAATTGTGTGCATCTGAAAGGCAGCAACGTTTACAGAGTTAATTATTATATGCGTGACACCTTTGGTCTAACGACACATCATGAATAGCACCGAGGATCACGTCAATACCAATCAATCAATTTCCTCTTTTCACTCTCTCTCTCTCAAGAAAAAAATTGAACTGTCCGATACAGTGGATTAATTACCACCCATTTTAATAAAGCGCTTAGGCAAGAGGATGAGGTTGATTGACTGGAATGCACAAGAAAGTTGAGTCAAATCCTATGATTGGATTCGTTGGAAAGATTCTACAAATTTAGTGTATGGGTGCGTCTAAAACAATAAAATTAACGCCCATCAATATAAGACCAAACGAGGTGACTGAACTATGGATTTGTCTAAACTCTGAAACGGAAATTTGCAAACAAATTGATGAGCAAGCTGATTCATTGGATGCCGAAATTCTCCGATTTATTAGATAATCACCTGATCGTTGGTGCTGTTTGCTGAAACCGAAATGTCATGCTGCAACAATAAAAACTGGTTTTTAACAAACTTAAACGCATTTAAACAGTTGCATGATTTTAATTGATTATTTTGAATATTCAGTTCATGAATCGTACAACGGTTGCATTGTTCACTTCATAAGGTAAGAGCTTTCAAGCTTTTCAGCAGATTACCGAATGGCTATTGTTCACTTTACTAATAGGTTGCATAAGAGACACCTGCAACACTCACCGATAGGAACATATGCAGCAATCGAAACCTTGTTTCCATTCAACGGAAAACATCTTCGATAATTCAGAAGAAATTAGCAAAATTAAAATCATAAATTTTCCTAAGTAATATTTGACATTAAGTGTAATATTCAGTTTCTAAACCGGGATGATGAACCAAAATCATTCATCAAAAAGAAGAGCATTTCAGTAAATGATGAACAGAAACAAGTTTGTTCTCCTGTCCGTATCAACCTTCCATGTAATTCACATTTTGAAGTATTCCAGTTGTCAAGAATTGGTAACTTATTTCTGCTATCTGCGACAATGAGCAACTGAAAAATGCTCACCAGGAAAGAAGGAATGTTTTCGTAGGGATTAGGTGAACAGCGATTGGAAAGCCTCGGGATAGCGGTCATATTTTTAGTCGCTTTTCTTTTCATTGAGATTTACCTGTCTCGGAGCATGAAACTACGCCATCTTGCGAAACTAAAGGTCAAATGCTATGAGCAACTCGCCGATGTTGTACATAAGATTCTTTCAAAAAAAAAAAGAAAACCTCCCTGGTGAATATTTCGAATCTACTTAACTATACACCCAAACACTTAACCGACATAAGTGTCATAGAGATGCGTCAAATTACTAAGAATTCACAGCGCGATTTTCGGTTCTGAACGTTTTTCGAAACTTTTTTTGATGTTCAGAGTCATTAACTGGTTTCATCGCGCAACAACCAATCAATATAAAAACCTGAAACTTTCAGAACTGTACAATAAGTGGCTGAAATCACTTAAAGAATTTCCATTGAAAAGCGTTCAGAAAATTTCGGAGATTTTTCGAAAAGTTTGAAACGAAATTGGTGAAGGAACGAATAATCATTATGCAACAACACTCATGGTCGGTGTACGTAAAAGTGAAGAGCATTTGAAGGAAACTTAATGTCGAGCCGAAAAATGAGAAGAAATGAGTCGATTGTTCAGTTGGGATGCGAAAAAAAAGTTCTTAGACGGATATAACCAAGAACGAATGTTGAATTCATTCTTGAGCGTTTCATACGAACGTGCTGAAAGTGCTTCAGTTCCAAGCTGTTTATTCATGTAGCATCATTGCAGAATTGCGATCGCTAGAAACAACTAACATTTTGAAAGAAGCAGTAAAATTCGATGAGAAACGTGTTCCATATCTGCGAGAGCAGCTGCGTTATGATCGTTTATTGGAGTTGATGCAGTGTTCAGCAAGAAATCTTTTTAGAGTCTCATCGCAGGTCATGTTCTTGCCTCTCAGAAAACATTCCAGTGCAATTTCTTGCAGCTGAATGACTCATTAATGAATTCGAAGCATTCGTGATTGAATGCTTTTATGAGTTCTTCAGTTTTTCATAATTTCCTATTCCCTCGATTTGTCAGTTTTACGAGTTTCTTAATAACAGTCGTTATGAACAAATGACTCGATGAGACGCTCTTAATGATATTTGTTCGAAGACCGCATGTCGACTACAACAGAAAGGGGAGGAAGAGGGTGCACTGTCTAACAAGAAATCTTTTTTTAGTTTCATCGCAGGTCAGGTTCTTGGCTCTAAGAAACCTTCAAACTTCAATTTCTTGCGCCTGAATGGTGTTCATCAGTGAATTCAAAATATTCTGATTTTGATTTTATGTAATTCAAAATTTTATATTTGATGTAATAACATTGTTCATCAAAAAATTTAATTTATGTAATTTTATTAATAACAAAATAATTCAAAAAGATTCAAAAGAAATCTGGTATTGAATGATTTTAGGAGTTTTTAACTTCTCCACCTTTTTCCGTTGCCTAATTTCGTCAGTTTTACGTGTTCCTTAAAAACAATCATTAAGAGCAAATGATTCGATGAGATACCGCTATTGTGATGATATTAGTTGTTCGAAGACTGTATGTTGGCTACATGGGGAAGGAGAGGGATGCAGAAGCAAATTTGCAAGTGGAATTTTCCCGGAGAAGGTTCGAAAAAATCAATTGTTTTTCATAATCAACACATTAATTTTCTATATTTAAATACGCATCTCACAGCGAACAAAATATTTAAGGAACTGAAAAAGTCATCTGCTCAGAGATCAATGGGAGAGCGGCCATCACGTATCTGAATTGTAAGATAAAATTTATGAAGAGGACTGATTACTGTATTACTGTTGTCAGCTTGGTGTAAGGAAGGATGCTGAAAGATGAAAAATGCATTGAATATGGTAAAATGCAATGAACATGACGATAGTATAGGTTAGTTATGGCATCGACCGACGGTCGGTCGGAAAAGTCCGACAAGTTCGGTCGGAATTCCGACTGTCGGAATGACGAAATGCCGGTTCAGTCGGATTCCCACCGAACTGTTCCGACAGTCGGTCGGTATGACGAAATTTCGTGTTGGTCGACTTTTGATCGACACGAAATTCCGCTAAGATGCTATGGTTAGTAAAAATGCATATGAGCTATTGCAATCAGTGATTAAGCAAAAAAGATAAACAAATGAACGAATGAAGAAAATGCACAGCAACGTATCCGATTCGGATGTGTATGAATGTGCTATTTGCATCCTCCTCCCATATTCATCTTCTCACACCAATGTCGGTGAACGCAAATGGGAAGGAAATGCCGACTAAAAGAATTGCAGCGTGTGAACACCAACCAACCAACCAACGATCGCTCGTCGAACAATTTGTGCGCGTTGTTAGCAATGCGATTTTTAGTGAACAATGTTTATATATCTAACATAAGCATCACATTCAGTGCACTTGTTCATTTACAGAGTGAACTGACTGCTTGCTAATTATCGCTGCATACGTTCTCAAAAGCGAACACCTCATACTGCACTGCATGGCATGAACCATTACAAAAATTTAACAACGGAATAAATTGCTCTGTTCATGCAGTAGCATCGACAGCAACTTATTTATTATTCGCCCAACTCAACCTAAACTCGTCATTCGTTCACAACATCATAGCAAAATGCTTGTATCAAAATGCTTCGCCTGGCAACAACTTTTCAGCTGAGGGGAGCGGAGCCTCATCGGTGAGCGAATTGAAGAGGATCCTGACAAAAAAGTCAGTGATCAAGATTGTTAGGAACCCCGATGGAACGTCGTTCTCCGACGAACACTACCGTAAATGTACGTTATGATCATGGAATTGCTTCAGAATTTCTACTGCGTAAAAAGTAAAATAAAAATCCGAGTTCAGTGGCTTCATCGTTAAATAAGCCTCCGTGAAAATCTTTCTCGATATAAATGAATGAATTCTATTGCTTAATGAATATAAAGATCACGAAGGACATTAAGAAATCAGACTTGACAAACGCTTCACCTGCGCCAGTAATATCTCGGAAAATGTTTTTAAGAACTGATTTTCGTTAGCGGTGACCACAGTCAACAAGATGTGGCGAAAATCACGAACGTCAACGTAGAGACCGACGCATACCCTCTTTCAAGCTCAGTGAAGCAGAAGTCTGCAAATGATTCAATTTATTCGTCATTCTAGGCTTCTTATACTAAGACTCCACGTGGTCGTGGTTTCTTCACAAAGAAACGTCGAGGAATTCGAATGATGCGAGAAATCATGAAGTTTTTAGAAGTTTGTGAGGGAAGAATTTCGAAGATTGATGGTGAAGTGACGAGCTTATGATATGATCGATAACTGATTGTCGCACAGAAATTGATGCTGAGTGTGAACACATTCCACTTCTCGTTCGACTGTTTCGTGAAAAACCTCTCAAAATTGTTGTTTTATAATCTCTTCAGAAATTCAAAAATTTTATCACTTCATCAGACGCACTACAAGCGGACAAAAAATTTAATCACTTATCAGTGAGACATCTTTTGAAACAATCGCTGCTTGCGATTTCATAAGCACAACAAAATTTCTCAGTTGGAATTGGAAACAAATAAAACAACTTTTAAAGGCTGACGTTCAGTTTCATTCAAATTGCTGCTATAGCCATACGACCATCAAGTATGAGATCATAAAATGACAATGTGCCAGTATGAACGGCTGAGAGATTCAAAAAGCTTTCGTGGAATGGGTGAAATAAAAGAAGAACGAAACCGATGCAATCGCAAATGAAGCATAAAAACGATTTGAACAAGGTTGCCGGCTTGCTGAATTACAAAACGAAATGAATCCAAACAAATATAGGAATGTGATGCCTGTTTTGAATATATTTTTTCAGGCTGTAGATTCTGTTGCAGTCATCAGAACAAAAGAAAACTTTTTCTTCACAAATAAAATCTACATTACAACGAAAAACTGCCAGCGTTTCGCTTCCATGGTAGAAAGTAAGAAACGGAAACG